ACCCTAAACCCTAAACCCTAAACCCTAAACCCTAAACCCTAACCCTAAACCCCTAACCCTAAACCCTAAACCCTAAACCCTAAACCCTAAACCCTAAACCCTAAACCCTAAACCCTAAACCCTAAACCCTAAACCCTAAACCCTAAACCCTAAACCCTAAACCCTAAACCCTAAACCCTAAACCCTAAACCCTAAAACCCTAAACCCTAAACCCTAAACCCTAAACCCTAAACCCTAAACCCTAAACCCTAAACCCTAACCCTAAACCCTAAACCCTAAACCCTAAACCCTAAACCCTAAACCCTAAACCCTAAACCCTAACCCTAAACCCTAAACCCTAAACCCTAAACCCTAACCCCAACCTTAATGAAGCAATGCACTTGTCTTGGCTCAATCAACCCTCCCGACACCAACAATGGATGAACAAAAGCTCAAGTGGTGTGAGAGTGGATGCAAGGGGTGTATGCAAGTGAAGCAAGTGCCAAGAGGGTCCCCTTCCTACTCGTTGGGGAGTATTTATACCCCCACCCACCAAAACTAGTCGTTGGGGTCGAAATCGCCAACCTTAGTTGCCGCCTGCCAGTCAGATCACCCAAGGCTAGAAACTAGCCTTTACTGTGCACTTAATGCACGGGCAGCAGCTAGCCAGTCAGATCGCCATCGGCTCCAGTCAAGCCGTCGGCGGCCCGGTCAGACCGGCGTCGGCTCTAGCGGCTCTAGATCGTCAAGCCAAGACACACATCCCGGCTCACCAACCGCCCGGTCAGACCAGCCAAGAAATGCCAGTCAGGCCGGCATGAAGCCCTCGGTCAGACCGGCCTCAAGCAGAAAATGATGTATGAAATGAACTCGAACGAAGTGACAATGCAAGTGACCTAATGTGGCATTTTGATCAACTCTTTACCTAGGTCATTACCTCTCTTGATAGTACGGCAAAGCTAGAAATAAACCTAGCAAAATTTGATCACCTAACACTTCAATCAATTTAAAACAAAACGCTAGATTTACCATCTTTGTTCCATTGCTTTGTGCCATTAATTTTAATCCGCGGTGATCATCCATGGCATGTACATCATGTGGTCCTAACTCAAATATATCGCTTAAATAGAATAGTTAGTCCACAATTAGAGCTTGTCATTAACTACCAAAATTAACAACGGGGGCTATGATGCTTCAATGTGCTATATATAATATGACTGTAGTACATTGAATATTTTATTTCATTGCACTCAAATATAATCAATGTTGGCCTATTTTACAAATTTATTATTCTGGCATATCACTACAAGATCTAAGTAATACTGACATTTTGATCCATGTCTGCTTTGCAGACAATTTTTGTAAATTGGTATGATCTAAGAAATTAATTATACTTGACCTCAGGGTCTAAAGAAATTAAGCCTTAACAACATTGTGAAATGCAGTGAGACTGAATCTTGGAGATAAATTACCGAAGAACTGAACTTTTATTGTGAGTATAATTTACTTTTGATCTTTTAACAAATAAGGATATTGTTTGTTAGTGGTTCTAGATTTGGTTACCCTGGCCTTTTCTCATGAGCGCAATTAGGGCCGAACTTTTGTGTGGCCTTGTCAGAGTGATAAAAAAAACATAGGCAGTGCATCACTTATCTGAAAAATTGGTTCTGAATTTTCCTTCTCTATATCCCTCAGGAATGATACTAAAATCTGATTTGTGTACTGACTTATTTCAGTCATTTGAATTTGCTATGTCAATACAGTCCATTTTTAATAAAATCTGGAATACATTTTGAGGTTAAGATAATCCAGTTGTTTATAGACTCAAAAACAGTATATGTGCTCTAGAAACATCGAAACTATTTTATCATATCAAAACACATATGTTCGTATGGTATAATTTTTAACTCTCCAAAATTTACCATCTTTAATTATAATTTAAATTGCATCCACATGTTTAATAAAAATATTTGAGCATCCATTTTGCTATTTTGCACACTTGCAGTTAAGTTCTGAGATATATAATGATATTTGGCTGACATGCTCATTGGACCTTTTTCCTTAAGCTATACTTCTGTGTCTTTTAACTGAAGTTGCTTTCTGTTTCGTAAGATCAGCCCTCCAGCAAGTGGAGGTAATCCAGTAGGAGTCCTCCATTTCTCTATATATCTCTTTGATTGCTTTAAAACCGAACAAAAAGGTTTAAAGAAAGCAAAAGAAGCAAATGTGTCCATTTATCTTTCGAAACAATATACTTCTTTCTTGGTGCATGGAGGGCCAGACAACCAGATAGAGAAATGGAGACTCTATCAGAGTTGTATGTTCAGCAAAGATGAGGTGGCTGATTAAGAGTTGTCTAATTACAACCAGTGCATTGTTGACAATCTTGATTTTTTTTTAATCCTTTTGTGCATCTGGGGCAAAGTTATTTGGTAAATTTGAATATGATTTTAGAATTTGGTGAAGATATCTGATTTTTAACTGATTTCGGATGCTACATGCAATGCATTGTGCTTCTGTAATATCAAAATTCACGATTGTATATTTTTATTTTGGTGATATATATGCCCTCAATAGACTTAAACTTTGACATGTTGATCACTCCGTAATAATTGTGTGCCATTCTATTTCTTTTATATTATGTTTTTCCACCGTTCATGTTACTAATATGTGAAAACCATAGAAATGGAATATAGCTATTGTCTGTGTTAACAATGATGTTTATGTTTGCAACGGGGGTTCATTTTTTATCATCCCACCCATTAAGATTTAAAGTTGCTCTAATTATTTCCAATTGCAACGCATGGGCACCCAGCTAGTAATTATGAAAGCAAGAGACAAGTGCTAAAGGATATTTGAAAACTAAAACTGGCTCATTCACAGCTGGCAGCACCACTGGAAATTCAAGCAAGGACAAACAACAATACAGACACATGAAGATAGAAGATAGAAAATAGAAAATAAGCGTTCAGAGCAGGAAGTTCCCACCAACATCGCTCCTCTATCCTGTACAAAACAAAACAAGGATAGCCGGCCAAATATAAAACTAGCCGGCTACACTTCACAAAATCACAACCAAAAAAGGCACTATAAACATAGCTACCATCATCCATCCAGGACGACAGAATGCGTCTGCTTTGGCATAGCTAACTTCAAGTCGCTATATACCATAACAATTCCTCCTAAAGGAGATAGATAAGGGAGAGCAAGGAGGAAGAAGCGAAGAGCGAAGAAGAGAGGATGACATGTGGGCCTAACATGTCAGTGGGTCCCATATTTTGTGTGAATGATAGATAGGTTCCACACGTATTTTTTAATTCTAACGCCACGAAGCGTCACGTCAGCAAAACCATCCTCCAAAACCATGGAGGGAGTTAAATTACACCGACTCCAAAACCATGGAGGAAGTCAAATTACACCGATTTTAATAGTTAGAGAATCGAGATGTCCGTTATTGTAGTTTAGGGATACGAATCAAATTCGGTCCTGCTAGTTGGGCCAAATGGGCCTCACAACACCATGCAATCTAGTCTAGACCATCTCAAATCGATCGTTTTGCCTTTTTACTGAGATTATGCCCTGATATGGGACAACCAGTAGTCCAGTACAATCAACAAATATCGAAGTTGTTTCAAAAAGAAAAAAAACAAATATCGAAGCCGTTTCGTTTGCTTTTATTCCATTCGATTCGATTCAATTCGTTCATCTCAACATGCACATCGTCCAAGCTAACTCCTTACCGGAATACTCTCTATAGAAAGTAGAAACCAACTTTGGATTCCTTTCTGCTGCCCCTCAGGCCCTCGCATACATAAAAAGAAACAGCCTTTTCTAGAGAGCGTCGTTGCCTTGTTCAAAGGTTGCACCAATGCCGCTCTACAAGACTACAACTCATCCTTGAAATTTGTACCGGAACTCCTCTCCCCCCTCAAATTAGTTGAAGCTGTGCTCTGATCCTTCTCTGTTTTCGTTGCTGACGAATCCGGCCGCTTCAGTTTGAAAGGGATGCTAGCGTGCTTCTTGATAAACTTGTACATCTCCACCACCGTACGGTCCCCCTCAAAAGTAATCTGCACACAATAACGCACAGCCAAATTAAATAAGGCCCTGTTTGGTTCCCACACAAAAATTTTACACCCTATCACATCGAACGTTTGAACAACTACATAAAATATTAAATATAGACTAAAAAAATAACTAATTGCATAGATTGTGACTAATTTGCGAGATGGATTTTTAAGCCTAATTGCCCCATGATTTGACAATGTGGTGCTACAGTAAACATTTACTAATGATAGATTAATTAGGCTTAATAAATTCATCTCGTGGTTTACTGACGGATTCTGTAATTAGTTTTTTTATTAGTGCGCAAACACCCTATGCGACACCCTATATACCCGATGTGACACGCCAAAACTTTACACCCCTAGATCTAAACACTCCCTAAATTAGACTTCTGGTAAATACTGTTATATACGGACCCTTTCAGGATCTCAAAATCTCATAAACATAACTTGTCAGATATACGCCTAACGTATCTTGAATTCCGACCTCAACAAATGTTGTTTTAAGGGAAAGACCTCAACAAATGTTATAGCGCAGAATGACTTCAATGCCATAGGTGCAGCCGTGCAGGTTGGATTTTTTTTTAGCAAGAAACCAAGGACACGCATGCAGTTTGAATAGTGCGGTAACATATAGTAGAGAGGTGATTCAAGATTTCTACAGAGAGAGAGAGACAGATATATTTCGGTTTTAGCAGATTATAAGAAATCTAGGCAATTCTACCGAAGAGAGAGGTAACAAACCTACTGAGAGACAGATTACATACAGTAACAAATGCACCCCTCAATAAGACATGACACATATTTGGGCACTTACAGGCTCAAAACTTTTCTTTCCTGCTGGATAAAAGAGGATCGTTGGGAATCCATCAGGCTGTGACAAGAAGCAAGTGTTAATTCTGTAATATGGAAAGTTTACAACATAATAAAATGGAAAAATAAACAAGACTAAGCATGCATGCATGCATGCATTGAAAATTTAAGGAAGATAATCACATAAAAGAATAGTACTAGCAAACTATGAGCCAATCTTGAAGGTTCAGATTGCATGGAGATTGGAGGGGAAATGAATTGTTCCAACTACAAGTCAAATTTCACATGCTACAGTGGTCACTACTGCCTCAAAATACTGTACCACTGATGCATACTCGTGAGATCGTAGTGCGTGAATACATATACATGGATGAGAAGTAAATCAACATTGAAATGTATGTAGTATTAGATGATGGATGGATATGTACCTTTTTTGTGCAGTGTGCAAAAGTGCGATTTCGAATAACAAAGCAGTTGAGCAACCCTCACATTTTTCATAACTAGCGGTGTTTCATATCATACATGCACAAGATCTTTTGGCCACAATAGCACAGGAAATTAAACTCTTCATTTCGTGCCTCCAAATTTTACTTTCTAATATCCAGTTCAAAGAAAAGTGAAGTGAAACTGCCAAAACCAACAGGAAGCAGAACAGACCTTTGCACGTGGATGCTCATTGGCAGTGCCATCCATTTTAGCTATTACAAGGGAGTCAATGCCACGGAGATGCTTTCCTAGCTTGTTGTAGGTAGGCTCCAGTTCCTGACAATGCCCACACCATGGTGCATATATCTGCAACAACAGCAACAACGATTATGGACCACATATAAATACCATTTTTCTCATAATTTACCTTCCAGGAAGAACATACCTCCAAAAGGGCATCTTTTGATTCATCCAAAACAATCTGATCTAGGTTTTTTCCAACAACAATTTTGACATCTCCTTCATTCTGTATGGGAACACAGAATGTCTCATTATGGTACAATAAGTGGAGAAAGAACCCATCATATAATTATAGACTCACAGATTCAGGTACAGGTTCAGACTTGTAGAACGGTGTGAGCTTTTCCTCTAAGAAATCCTCAGCAAATCTCTGCATGTAAAAAGGATAAAAACAATAAAGGTGTCCAATAACCAAGCCTTCAAGGAATAAGAAAAATTCTTGGAGAATGATAGTCGACTCCTTCCTCACTAGCAGTGGCAGAACTCAATATCAACAGTGTCCAAGAAAAGTAATAAGTACCCTAGTTAAAAGGACAACTTCTACACCAAACGGCATGGTGCATAAATTGCAAAAAGATGCACATTGCATTTGTTCACTACAAAATGCAATATTAATTGATAATGCACAAACCACAAATACATGCAAGATTCTCAGGTTAAATTAATACAGTACAAATAGAAAATGCATTTGCCAAAAAAACTCAAATGATTGGTGATTACATGCTAGCTTGAAACTTGGTAACATAATGAACAATTTGTTCGAACTACTTGAGCACACTCCTATGCTATTTTTACATCTAATAAGGCACTGTGCATGGGCCTGTGTCAACAATTACCTTAATATTCTCTACCGATATTTCACCATCAAGGAAAAAATTCCTAGCATCTTCATTCCCAGTGTAAGCAAGAACCTACAGTCATAGGGACAAACAAAAAAATAACACAAACACATTAAATGGAGGCTAAATTGCAGCATCCAATTTCGATGCAAGAAACAACAGTACAGATAAAGGTAACAAAGAACACAAGTCATTACTGTGGTCTCTTGTCCAGTAATACCAAAGTAGTTGGCAACTGGTTCACCTACTTCCTCATTGTCACGCTCCACAAAGACAAACAAAAGCTGCATTTTGGCCACACACCTCATCAGTGGTAAACGAACACATCAGTAAATAAATAGAATGGGAAAGTGATAAGTGGTGTTGCATAGCACCAAATTTGAGTAAAGCATGTGAAGCAACGGAAGTAAGTTTGCTGATAACTTGACGGATCAAAAGAAAAAAAAACTACCTTCCCCTTGAATGATTTTGATGCTTCCTTAAAGATGGGCAGAAATTTCGACGATTCGTTTGCAACAACAAATAGTAAAATCTGGTTTGAAAAATAAAAGTTAGCAGCCCAGTAATGTATAAATGGACCAAAAAAGTGAGAAATGTACAGAAGCAATATCAATTAGACATGCCTGCTTCTTGATTGGATTGTCAAAAATGGAAGGAGCAGTTTCCTGTGTGAGGGTGTTGACCAACGGAAGCTTGTTTGCAGATACAAAATCGGCAATTGCAGATGCTTTGAATGGCCCATCTGCATGATAGGTGGAGTATATTATCCAACAACCAAGCCCCGCATGGAAAATAGAAATGAGGGGATTGATGCTTAAAGTGACTTAGAGAGAAGGGTACCATAGAAGGTCAACTTCTCCTCCTCTTGTTTCTTGAGCAGGACTAAGGACGGGCGCTTGGCCGCTGGGTCAAGGTGAAAAAGCTTGGCAACATCAGGATTGGAAGTCTGGTAAAAGTTGATAGCATCTTCCAGCCTCGAAGCAGCAGCAATCTCATCACTGTGAGCACCCTGTAAGTAGTAGGGTTTGAAAAGAAGATTAATAATAATAGTGTGTGTGCAGTAAGAATTTAGAAAGAGCATCGGGGTTGACTTGAGTAGAAGAGAAGAGAAGGTACCGATAGGGAGTCGAGGACGGCAAGAATGGCCTTGTCCTCCCCGGTGAGTATCTTCTCCGCCTCGTCGACGGTGGTGATGTTTTGCACCCCGGGAGCTAGCTTCTTGTTGACCCACGACACGATGGCTTCCCTGGAGCCAAGGCAAGAGACAAGTCAAAGAAATTGAAGCCAAGAGACGAGATGAGATGGGATCTGGGGGGAGGGGGGACACGCACTTGGTTCTTGCGCCGTTGTAGTCCTTGGGAACGCCGTCGATGAAGAAGAGGATGGTGGGGAAGCCCTGGACGTCGTACTTCTGGGCGAGATCAGTGTCCTCGGTGGCGTCGACCTTGGCGAGGGCGACTTGATGGGCAAGAGGGGAGAGGTCGGCGGCGGCGGCGGCGTAGTCTGGGGCGAGCGCCTGGCAATGGGCGCACCAGGGGGCGTAGAACTCGACCATGACATGGCGGTGGGAGGCGAGGAAGTCGGAGAAGTTGGCGGCGGAGAGGAGGAAGACGTGGGTCTCATCTATGGGATGGTCCTGGGCCTGGCCATGGTGGAAGAGGTCGTCGTCGTCGTCGTCGTCGGGGGAGCCCTCCTGGAGCCAGCCGTCGGGGTCGTTGGCGGGGATGTCGTCGGCGTTGTCGATGAGGTAGTCGAGGTCGTCGTCGGAGGCGGAGGCGGAGGCGTGGAGAAGAAGGGTGGCGAGGGCGACGAGGAGGAGAGATCGGGAGCGCATCGTTGCTTCCTCCGTTGCTCACTGAGTCCACTGCTGTGGAAGTGGAATGGAACGCTCTACAACTACAAGAGCGGATCGATCCCCTTTTATTTCTCTCTCTTTTTTTAATTTTCGATAAGAGCCAGAGCTTTCTGTTTGAAAAGAGAAAAAAAGTCGCTTGCGACTCACACAGCCGGACCCCGGAGCTCGGAGCGCGTGGTGTGCGGTGCCGTCCGCGTGAGCTGCCACTTTTGGACCGGATCTGGCCCAGTTTCTTTCTATCCGACTGCAGGCCCAAGCCCATTCCATATTTGAGATGCTTTCTCCGTCTTCGAATATGAGTTATATCTGGTTTTACGGTTGAGTTTGTGGACAGTATCGGTGTTGGCGTTCATCTATCCCTTCCAGGACAGGCGGAATCAACCATGCCGTGCGGCGTCACCAACAAGAAGCCGCCGGCCCACTGCCCTTGGAGACGACGACAATGAACAGTCGGAGGAACACCCTGCCAATGATCATAAGGATGTGGCTGTGGTGCCGTAGCGGCTAGGCGGAGTCGAAGTGCACGCAGATGGTGGCGGAGAGGATGCCATGCGCGCCAGCAATGAGGAAGGTAGAAACAGGGCGGTGAGAGCCGCCGGAAGGGCGAGAAAGAGGAGGCAGAGAGAGAAGAGGGAAGGGGAAAGGTGAGGAAGAAGATGAGGTGAGTAGTAACTCGCTGACATGTGGGTTCCACCTGCTGAGAGAAGAAAGCGGGCTACATATTTTCAAAACCACTTAAGGAGTCAATTTGCACCTATTTTCAAAGAGAGGGAGGTGTTATACCCGGTTTTACGGTTGAGGAAGACGATTCAATCATGAGCTAGATATCAAGGGAGGTGAAATAGACTTATTTCCTTGTGTAATGAAATAGGTAGACATAACGAAAGTAACTTTCATCTGAAAACCCTTCAGGATGAAAACCACTATACATTCAGTTGACTCGTTTTACCTAGCCTCCTCCTGATTTTCATTTTGCTTTTAATTTGTTCATCTTTTTCAAAACATGGCTACAGAAAAGATACACACAATCTAACTAACCACTATCATGTACACAAGAGATTACAGTTGAGTTCAAGCATCCGCTACAAAGATTGGCTTCACAAAGTTAAAACAGGTGGGGAGGAAAAAAGAGACCCACAGCCCACAGCTTACCCGAAAGCCAAATACCACGTAGCATTGAAATGATGCGGCAAAAAAGAGGAAAACAAACTATTGGCTACTATGCTCTTCACACAAATCAATGAACATCTCACTCACATTCTTCACTAGTCGAGGGTCGTCAAAACAAGATCCCGTGACGAGTCAGATATCCTAGCAGCCTCAGCAATCCTGAGGGCCATAATAGATTTGTATGCCACCAGCTCAGCCTTTGCCATGAGACGCTGAGCTCTACTGCGCAGACGAACAGCTGTTTCTCCTGCCTGTGTTGCAGCACGTTCGGCTTCCACAACTCTCCGCAAAGCCTCCTCTTCAGCACCATTAGCATCTGTCCATCAACATGTCGAGTAAAAGACAACACAAGATTATTTCCCCTCAGTAGGAACTTAGTCTGCAACATCGGGATAAAAAAACGCTACGTTATGGTACACAAACTTGCATGCATGTACCAGTGGAACAATGGTCATAAATGTTACTAGTAATTAGTTTCTTCATAATTACAGGGAGCATGCTTTCATCAAGCATGATCTGGATTGTTTTGCAGTTTGTATTGTTTGTGAACTAGGATTGCACAGATCTGCTGCTACAGGAGTTGAATCACCTAGCAGATGAGAGGGACAAGGTGAAGAATAAATCTGCAACTATTATTGGAAAAGGATGAAAAAGCTACAAGTGAACAAGGTGGTCTTGGCGACAAGCTGCGATGATGGATCTCATCTGAATCATAGTTTTGATGATAAGTGCTATTTGCCCTAAACATTAGCATTTATTAAGGGTTTGAGACACTGGCTGAATAGCTAACTGTAACCTGTCCCAAAGTAATTCACCGAGGACTCTCTCCTCACAAGGAGCAAGCATTCTATTGTTAGGCCTCATAGGAGAGTTGTTTCGTTTGTGAATACATAGGCCCAAAATTACTAGTGGTTCATTCACCAAAAATATGATAGAACATATAACATGCTTCATATTTTAGTAGAGTTCCTTACATAACATTACACAACAAGTATTCTACGTTATATCCAAGGTTCATATTTATATATGCCACAATTAGTGCTATTTTATTAACTGTGTAGTATCTACTAAGGGTGGCAAGTAGAAATTTATTACCACCTCCTCCCCAAAATATAGCAACTTCTGGATAAATTTTGGGATGGAGTGAGAAGTTATCATTTCCAATAGATTTGTTAGTTTGCCGATTACTACAAATTATGCATGCATTTTTCTGTAACCATTCTTATCAAAGTAATTATATATACACATGTTTACACCCAACTATTTCCAACTGGATCGAATGTAGCTAAAATACCATGGCCATCTACTTAGCAACTTTGTGCACCTTGATATGGAAAATTGGTAATACACCAGAGGCAGGGAAACTAACACTGTAACCTTACAGATGCTAAAATGTAGGATTAGATATAATATTAGGAGTGCTTGATATTTCAGGCATAGAAGGATGTGGTTTCTTATGTGAAAGAAAAAAAGATTCACATGGCTTCCGAAATCAATTGAGGTCACTCTTCGGACAAATGGATAAAGAAGCTTCTTGTATCTTTTATGATGCTTTCTTGCTTCAACTAAGTGAAGGGCCACGCCAATGGCGGTCCCAATTCTCTAGTAAGATAGACATCAAGGAGAAAACATCAGTACCTTGCAAGCATATGTCAGGCTTTCCACGGCCAGCTTGGCTTCTTTGTCTCTTGAAAGATCTTTTTTTCTTAATAGATCTTTGTGACAGTTGTCCTCGTCTTAGTGTTGCACCCTAATGATCAAGAAGGTTAACATTTAGAAAATATAACCAGAAGTTCAGGATATGCAGACAATAGAGGGTAATCTTTGTGAAGGTTCCAGCTTTGTATTAATATTTGGGGAAGGGATAAAGTCAAAAAATACCTGCAATATCCTTAGCAGTGGTACACCTTTCTTATATCTCTTGTTTATCCAATATTCATGCACAGCAAGGACATTATGGTCCTTTTCCAAAGTAGGGTATCTGGAAAGAATCTGATCCAAATCACTAGTTCCTTCAGGGTTGTTGAAAGCATCCTTTTCAAACGTGGTAATCATCTTTTCAAAATCTTCATAAGAAATATGATTAAGATGTGCGCTTTTTCTGTCAGAATCTGAATGATTCAACTGGGTGAGCCACTGTTCATCCTCAGAATCCAGATCATATACAGAGTCCCTTGAGAGAGCTCGCCCAACCTCATCATCCGCCATTCTGATATAGTCTGGCACAGGGCGTGAAAAAGGATATGTTCCAATCACTCCCATGTCATCAGAAACCTCATTTACACCAGGAATTGGTATCATCTTTCCCTGGGAATTGCGCTCCCGACCCTCAATTTGCAACTCCTTAAACAAAAGCCAGTCCCATTTATCAGAGAACTCAATCTTCAATCCATCATCAACTGCCAAAATATAGGCATGGGTGAACCGGTTAACAACATAAAACCTCTGCTCCGAAGGCTTCAGAGATATTCTATTGACACCATGTATCTTCACAGCTATACACCACTCATTTGATTCCGATGGTTCCAGCATAACTTCAGCGCCTTCTTCCCTCCAGCACCTATCAGGTTGAATAATTAAAAGGTTTGCTCTGCAGTGAACAGAATCTATATTCTGTCTAACCTCAGCCAAAGCCAACCTTTCATTCATGCGCTCAATGGGACTTTTCAAAGAAGACCTCTTTTGCTTCCCATTTGATCCTATAGGAGTTGAAACATCACTGTCATCCATGTTTTCAAGCAAATCAAGAGAGATTTCCAGTGCTGCTTTAGGTTTGACAGGCTCCAGTGGAAGCTCCGGACTAACTGAGGGTGGCGCATCCGCTTCTGTCTGTCTAGCCACATCGGTCTGGTTTGTTGCAACTACCTTGTCGGGAAATCTTGCAGCAAGACGCTGTCGACTGAGGGGATGCCGCATAGAGCTTCTCTTCCTTTGATGCTTCTTTAGCCTCAGACCATGGACCACCACTCCTGCAATCTCTTCAAGGGGCACATAATCTTGAGCCACACTGCAAAGTTTGTTGCTACACAGGTCAACAGCAGGATCAGTATCCCCAGTGCTCAGAGATTCAGAATCCTCCTCCAATAGGGTGCGAGGATAAATTTCTTCAGCTCCACCAACCAAATGCATTCTCGTACGAATCACAGCTGGAAGATACATTGACTCGAGTGCTATTAACAAGTGCAAAATCTGGAAGTAAGAAGGGACTGCCAAGAAATTGACAGACAACAATGGTTCAGAATCCTTGGCACCACGAAGCTCACACCAGCCACATTGCACCAAAGCCCTCTGTGACAATGCACACTGCAAGAAAAGGCATACACATTAACCAGGTGTACAAGGAACTAAAACTGGCACACTTTTTAAGTCTGTAGAAGGCTTACGTCTCTCCGGCATTGAAGCTGGACAAAATGCAATCCCCGCAATGCAAGCGCAGTGGCGACAGCATCGGACGAGAGAAAGGAGGCAAGGTTTCGGACCTTGCCCCGTCGGCAGCTACGCATCCAGCGCAGCACAGAGAGGAGGAGGCGCAAGAAGTGCTGAGAGCTCCCAGAGCAAGATGAATCCACAAGGACAATAAGCATGGCAGCGTCAGCTTTATTAGTGGGAATACAATCCACCAGGGTCAAGAAATGGGAATCAAAGAAGCCAGTCCTGGAGGCAAACTCCCTGGAAGAGGAGCATGGGATGGTGGCAAGGTCGTTCGGGGCGTGGTGCTGAAAAGGGGCGACCTTGGGTCTCTTCCTAGTGAAGACAATGGCAAACCTGGTGTCCTCCTTGGGTTCGGGGAGGCGGCGGCGGCGCTTCCTGCTGTAGACGATCCCGAAGGACCTTGTGCGCGGCAGAGGCGGCGGCGGTGGCTTGGGGTCGTCGTGAAGTTGGCGTTGGTGGTCATGGACGTGGAAGCAGTTGTTGGGCTTGCACTGGAACCAGTGGGCGTCGGCGGGGGATTCGGAGAAGGCGAGGCGCTTGCCGGAGCGGAGGACCCTGGCAGGATCAGAAGGCTGAGGCGGCCTGGGCGTCTTGGGCACGAAGACGCGCGTGGAGCGGCGGGCCCCAACATGCGGCATGGGCACGGCAGGTTCCTCCGGCGGCGGCGGCGGCGGCGGCGGCGACGGCGATGGCGCGGGGTTGCTGGAGGGGACCCGAATGCGATCAGATGCAGTGCGCTTCCTCATCCAACATGGATGCGCCGCCCATCAGCAACCACCAAATCGATGAGCTCCTCCTCCTCCTCCTGCTCCTGCTGCTGCTCAGCTCGGAATCGAAACGAATCAGATCTTGGGCTGGGGGGTCTTGACGAGGCGCAACAGATCGGCGGCTTGCGGGGCGGGGCGGGGGCGGGGGCGGGGGCGTGGCGACGAGATCGAATCGAATCGAGAGCAGAAGGAGAAGAGGAATTTTAGGGTTTCCTCCCTTCTTCCCTTCCTCCTCCGTTGGGGTTGCGGGTGAGGAGAGAGACGAGACGAGACGACGCGAGTCGGGAGGAGGATGCGCACTGACTGCGATTAGCCGTTGGATGCGCATCGGACGGTATGTGACTGACTTGTGGGGACAGTGCCAAGAGAAGGCTCTGGAAGCCAAAGCCCCTTCCTTCTTCCTTCCCCCCGCTACAAATCTCACTCGCATCGCATCCCATCCCATCCCATCGCACCGCGCAAAACCCTAACCCAAAGGCAAGGGAGAAGAGGAGCGGACGCCATGGATGCTTCTCGCGTTGGCGAGCTCCGCACTTTCGTGGAGGCCTGCAAGAAGGACCCCTCCCTCCTCGCCGACCCCAACCTCGCCTTCTTCCGCGACTACCTCGAGAGCCTGGGCGCCCACCTCCCCGCCGCCGCCTTCACCAAGGCCACCCCCAAGCCCAAGGTCTCCGATCTCTCCTCTTTTGCCCCCATTTCTTCCATCATATCGTAACAGTCATCCCTGCAGCAGCCGTCCTCCATGGATGACATCGACGATGAATACGACGACGACGACGACGACGATCTCAACATGAGGGATGCCACTCCGGAGCCGGACGAGCTTGACCAGGACATCGTCGAGTCCGATCTTGAACTTGAAGGAGACATTGTCGAATCTGACCATCAGGACCCTCCGCAAAAGGTAATACTAATAATATTACCCTTGCATCTCCCATCTCCAGCCCCACTAATCATACCATTGTTTATGCCAGATGGGAGATCCTTCTATTGATGTCACCGAGGAAAATCGTGATGCCTCACAGGAGGCCAAAAGCAAGGCCATGGAAGCAATGTCAGAAGGTGCTCTTTTTTCCCCCCACCCCTTTGGCCTTTTTTTTTCTTTTTCTACTTGGCTTGCCTTCAATCTGATTCCCCATTACATGTGGCATTGCTTGTCAGGGAAACTGGAAGAAGCTATTGACCATCTTACAAAGGCAATACTGCTCAATCCACTCTCAGCTATCATGTATGGTACTAGAGGTAGGTCGCCTCTCAATGCTCTATACCATCCATCTTTACCGTATATCATGCATAAGCACTGACCAAGTTGTGGAATTCGTATGCTTGTGCAGCTTCTGTGTTTATCAAAATGAAGAAACCTGTTGCTGCCATCCGTGATGCAAATGCTGCTCTAGAGGTGAAAAGCTCTGCTCTTCTCTATTTTTTTTTCTTGCTCAAGTGGAACTTTTGCATGTACTATATGTGAAGTCAATATGCAGAATTGCTCTTATTACAAGGTTGATTGATAGTCTGTGTTTGCTGAGGCATGGTACAGCACAGCCTAGGTGAGCTAGGTGGCCACCTAAGGTTAACACTTAGCAGTGCGGTTATATTATTCATTATGCTTACCCTAGGGTTAACACTTGACAGTGCGGTTATATTATTAATTATTAGGAGTATTGACTATGCCACCTAGGTGCGCTTTGCATAACCTGCCATTATTATGTAGATTAACCCAGACTCTGCAAAAGGCTACAAAACTCGTGGAATGGCTTATGCTATGCTTGGAAAATGGGAGGAAGCTGCCCATGATCTTCACACAGCATCGAACATGGATTATGATGATGAGATCAATGCTGTGCTCAAGAAGGTCGATTTTTTATTTGGACGCTCTCTTCCTCTGCATATGAATAAGCTCATGTAATCTAAGTGACACTGATAATCTTGCAGGTGGAGCCTAATGCACACAAGATAATGGAACATCGCAGGAAATATGAACGGCTGCGAAAAGAGAGGGAAGAAAAGAGAGCTGAGCGTGACCGATTCCATCGACGTGCAGAAGCACAGGTGCTTCCTGTTTAGTTTGATGCCCATCAGCCCATGCCATCCACCTTAACAAAATTGGTCTGCTTTCACCAAAATTTTCCTCTTCAACCTTTGGTTTGATCTCAAATTTTGGTTAGGCAACCACCACATATGGCACTAGTTCGCTTTCAGAGCAAAAGATGGCCAAAACTTGGCCAGTCAATTTGATTGCCCCAAATATGCTATGCCAATTTTTCTCTTGGCTCTCATGTTCCCTTTTTCAGGTTTAGACCAAATGGGCCCAAATGATACTGCTCATGATTATGTTTTGTTTTTCTACAGGCTGCTTATGACAAGGCCAAGCGGAAGGAGCAATCATCAAGTCGCTCATCGGGAGGTGCATCTCCCAGGGGGGGCTTCCCAGGAGGGATGCCTGGTGGAGGTTTCCCAGGAGGAATGCCTGGTGGAGGTTTCCCAGGTGGTATGCCTGGTGGAGGTTTCCCAGGTGGGATGCCTGGTGGCTTCCCTGGGGGTGCTATGCCTGGAGGTGTTCCTGGGAATGTCGATATGAGTAAAATTCTGAATGTAAGTGATTTAGAATTAGCTACCCTCATTGGTTTTCATTCCTTGAGATGACAGTCACTACACATGTATGTTTTTCCCTCTTCAACAGGACCCTGATCTGATGGCAGCATTTGGTGACCCTGAGGTTATGGCAGCTCTTCAAGATGGTATGCTTTAACATTGGCATATTTGTGATTTACTTGTTCAAGTTCCAGTCCCTATGTAGTACTGTTTCTGGATAACATCAATCTTTTTTATTAAAAAACCTGATGGCAAAGAAGTACTGAATGGTTGTCCAATTCCCATTGAGTGGGTGTTTATATGTACTTTAACATTTCCTTGTGTAGTCTGCAAGGGAAGTGGTCCTAAGAAATATGTGGATATAAATCAACGGTAGGTAAATTGGTTTTTTTGTGGCTTATCAGGAGTTATGAAGGGCGTGCATTAGTACATCTGAAGATATTAAAGGAGCATAGTTCATATATTTTTTGTTTTCTCATAAACAGTATTGCCACCCTAAATTGAATTCTCAAGTTTCCTGAGTTTGAAAATTCTGTTCACTAGAGGCTATTGGATTTTCTATGTTTAATGTTACCCTTATTCCTTATGTTGTATAGATTTCAGCCCATGACAGCATTGCAACACAGAATTTTGCAATTTGCGAGTTTGGTTTATCCCTCTAGTAAAAAATAATGTTGTTTTGTACTTTGCAAAGCCAACTATATACAACTTTGTCTTGGTGTGTCTTTTGTATAAATACGGAAAAAGTTACACAAGTGATATTTTGAAAGCATTTTTATGACAACTTGGCTATATATTTTTGGAGTAAATTTCACAAAATCCATGTTTTATGGTCAAAGTTGCATAACACCATAGGTATTTTGACTGGTGGCTTATAACACTAGGTATTATGATTCTAAAATTTCACAAAACCCCTGTCCCTGTGCATGTTAAGTATGAATTTACTTAAAATTTAGCATAGAGTATGGATTTCTTTATTTTTGGGTTCTTGACTAAGGCTGTGTTTGGTGGGAAGGTTGGGCTTCCAACCTAGCATGCTAAACCAAGCGATGGATTAACGCACGATTAATTAAGTATTAGCTAATAAAACTTGAAAATGGATTAATATGATTTTTTTAAAGCAACTTTTCTGTAGAAAATTTTTGCAAAAAACACACTGTTTTGCAGTTTGGGAAGTGTGCATGCAAAAAATGAGAGTGTAGAAGTTGGGAAAGTAGGGGGAAGAACACAGTCTAAGGTTGATAGTTTAACTCTTCACTGCTTTGAAAGATATTGTTTCGAATATGCTGAAATTAATCAAGATTTGAATAAATGTGGGGTTTTATGTAACATTTTAGACCATAAAAACTGTGGTTATGAGCCACGAGCCATAACACGCGGTCTTTTTTTGTGCAATTTTGACCATAAAACGTGGGGTTTTCTAAAATTTACTCTATTTTTATGTGCAAGACTTATGTTTCAAACAATAATTATACTCAAGATTAACTTGTGTTTACTGCAAGGTTCCCATAACCACATTTTTTGGTGACTGGAGGCAGTATTCCTGTTCACCAGAGTCACTGCACTGTACTTATGTTCAATGGTATCCGATATTAGTAAGCAATTATAACAGTTTAGGCATTCCAGGCAGTATTGCGTAGTCAAATATGTTGAGCATGTTATCCTTGCATCTGGGTACCTGCACAAGCCAAGGAAAACATGCATGACACAAAAAAGGCACCCTAGACATTGTTGAGTTATCAAGTCATGAAGGCATTAGAAGTTTAGAACCACGCTGCTGTTAGTTTTATCAATACATACTTGCTAGGTTAAAAGGGACCGTAGAGCTGTGTTCTGCACCCAAGCATACAATTTCAGTTGTTTAACCGTCTGTTTAATTTTTTTTTCAGTGATGAACAATCCTGCCAGCTTTGCGAGGCACCAAGCCAACCCCAAGGTGGGCCCCATCATTGCAAAGATGATGGCGAAATTCAATGGGTCCCAGTAAACGTTTTGAGTGAGCTGATGGTATGAGTAAATTGTTATTTGGCAATATGGTGTCAAGTGTTTTGTGATGAGCAAAAGCACGTTGGACGGTCTCTTGTTAGGTGCTACTCTTTTTTGTGAATGTGGTATTAAACGGTGGATGTATATGCAGAAATACTTTTCATCGGGCTGCTAACTCTATATTACTTCTTTTAGAGGTGCGACAATGAGGATTTGGAGATATGATTTGTTGACAGTTGTCGCATTCATTCATCTATCTGTTTGTGCATTGTGTTGGGTGGATAGCTCTACTTGTGTTGTGTTTAGGGCTTCGGTTTGTAGGAAAACCCAAGGATTTTTTTATTAGTACTATTCAACAAAGAAAATTTTTCTTTCCTTAGTTGTATTACTATAGAACTGAGGGAGTAATAACTAGCCCGATATGTACTTATTTTTAGACTAGTAAATATGCCTGTACGTTGCAACGGGTGAATATCAAACAAATATGGATTGCTAAAGCGAAAAAATAAGGGAAAAAGAAATAAGGGCCAAAACAACGTGCGCCGGCCCGACCCGTTAAGCAAGGAGGTCCTATAGACACAGTAAACGAGCGAGCGAAAGTAGACTTATTACAGGAGAGGCCCGATGCAGTATGAGGGAGCGAAAGTAGACTTATTACATGAGAGACCGCATGCAAAGCAAGTAATAATAGGGCATGCAGAGCAAGTAATAATAGGTGTAAAAAGAGAGGGAAGGTGGGAGTTGAACCCTGGTGGACGGAGTGAAGATTTTCCACATTAACCAAGCAGGCAAATAATCACTTGTGTTATGTGATTACATGGAAGATACATATATTATATTAACTGCGGTTTTGCAATACAATGAAAACAGACCGACCCGACTCGGATTAAAACAGATTTTAGTGGCGCGTGTGGGATGACGGACGAAGAAATACCGGAATCCTTACGTATTTTTTATTAGGTATATATATATATATATAGATATAGATATAGATATAGATATAGATATAGATTTAGAGGCAATGAACTCGATGTTTTGGGTTTAAATAATAGAGTAAATTACATGTTGGACTATATTTTTTTTACCATGGTTTCACTTTGGGCTACCCTTAATATAATGTTTTCACCTTAGGCCAGATTTTATACCAAAACCTTTCACTTTGGGCGTATGGCCCATAGTCAGTCTCTCAGAGCCAATCTCTCATCCCTATCTGATCATCTCCAACTGTTTTCATCGATGGCTGTAGACCACAAAGACCACGACGCCTAAGAGAGCTCGAGCATATATAACAGAGCTGACGCCCGCGCATCTCAAGCTCGTAGTCCAGCCAGCACGGGGTCAACCTCCGCCAACACGGCGTCACGCTAGCTTGACTTTTGTTCCCGTCGTGCCGGCCGGTCTCAGGCTCAAGCTCAATGTCTGGTGGCTTGATCTCGACTTCCGCCCGCACTCGCACGCCATTCCTTGGCTTGATTTCAATCTCCGCCGATGTCGTCCGCTGGCTCGACCTCGACTTCCGCCTGTTCCCGCACGCACGCATTTTCCAGTCTCGATTTCAATCTCCGTTTTCGTCATGCCCCGTCTTGACCTCGAACTCTCCCATAGTCCCATGCTGGCGCGCCACCCCCGGCCTTGACCTCTGCCGTGTCTCCCCCCGCTCGACGTCGACCTCCAGGCACCAGCAGGTAGCAGCACCCACACGCTGTCCTTGAGCTCGAGCTCCTATCCACCACCCTAGCTTGACCTACGCGGCTCCGTCGCCCCAGCGTGCCGTCCTCAAGCTCGAGCTCTTCTCCGCCGCCGTCGGCCCTCGCTAGCTTGACTTCGTTCTTCACCTACGCCCGCACGTCGTCCCCGAGCTAGAGCTCCTCTCTGCCGTCGTCGCACCTCGCTTGACCTCGATATTCAGTAGCACTAGCACGTCGTACTTGGGCTCAAGCTCCTCTCTACCGTCCCGGCTCAACCTCGATCTCCACGGCTACTCCGATGCCCGCGCGCCATCCCGGAGCTCAACCTCCTCTCCACCGCCGTCGCCTCCGTGACTCGACTTCTGCTGTACCTGGATGTACACGAGCTCCTCTTTGCTCACGTCGCCTAACATCGACCTCCACACGAGTCTTTCCAGTCCCAAGCTCCCCATGTTGCCCCCAAGGCTTTAGCGTGATCTCTGCCCACACCGCCATGAGATGGTTGGGTGAAGTTGGAAAGAGATCGACGGTGTGGTAGGAGATGAGTCAGCGAACTCGCTGGTTCCTTCCCAACCGAGAAGTTTCCTTTTTTTTCCCTCAGCCACACTGGCAAGTGGGCCACTGGTCCAAAGTGATACATTTTGGTAATAAAATCTGGTGTAAAGTGAAAGCATTCAGTTAATGGTGGTCTAATGTGAAACCATAGTTAAAAAATATGGACCAATATGCAATTTACTCTAAATAATATTTCGCGGCCTGCTATATGCCTATATACTGTCGTTATTGTATTCTTTTTATTAGACGAAGAGAGTACTCCGACGTTATTAGGAAATGGCCATATTCATGTTTCAGACAAGACTCTTGATTTACATGCTCGTCGGTTCGGCTGACTTGTCTCATCGCTAAAAGACATTCGTTTAGTAAATATGCGTTTGTTTTCCCTTTGGAACGTAAAAGTGTGTGGACTATATTAACCAGGGTTTTACCCTTTTGAGTTCGAAGTAAAAACGGCTCTTCAGCGGTTTACCAAAATCTGATCAAAAACTAGTAAAAACTAAAGAATTTCAGTCAACACAGCATGAAAACCAGCTAATACCGATCGGTTTTCACAACCCGAGACCCGGCCTCGCGTGGTAAGTCGTGTTCTTTCCAAATTTGGCTATACTTTTCTATCTTTTATACTCCATCCGTTTCATATTATAAGACTTTCTAACCTCGCTCACATTCATATACATACATCTATATGAATATAGGCGATGCTAGAAAGTCTTATAATATGAAACAGAGGGAGTACCCTATATCGGAGCCAAATTTGGGTATTAATAGAAACCCGTGCTTCAGTGGGATATTTTGTTGAGATTGGTAGTTGCATTTGGTAAAGTGAAGTGGTATGAAAATTATTAGAAAAATATTAAATTTGAATACATGGAACTTTATTGCTATCGTGAAACAGGTAGTTTATTAAATATTATATTTATCAATTTAGAAGAGAGGCAGTGTGAATGTGTTTCTTTGAGTTCAATGTCTTGAAAAAAAATTCTCCTATTTGATATTCAATGAATGAACAAAACAAAATCATTCTAAAAAAACAAAATATTCTCTTGATGTTTGATTTTTTTTTACTACATACAGTTGAACATATGTAATCAAGGAAAGACTGACTGAGATTATTGGATCATACCTTGCAGATTACTACTACAGATTCTTGCAGTAACCAAATAGCTCGAAGAGAGAACAATTCATTCTTGTGGAACTGCATATACATTATTGAAAGGGAGAGATAAATCATCTCTGATTCTCAGCCAATAACCTTTACTTGTTGATATAATTCTAGATGTAACGAATTATTCTTGCCTCCTACTTAGCTACAGAGGTTGTAAAAATATCTCACCAGCAGATGAATATGGAAGCAAATGGAACTAAACCTCGATGATGAATAGTGCACCCCATGCTTACACTAACTTGGAAACTGGTATACACCAAAGATTACTTAGGAAATTAGAGGATCATATGGATTAGACGACCTCTCCGATTATCTCCTCTTGTCCTAGTGTAGAGACTGGTACGCAATCAACATCTTTCTTCACATCAAAACCCAAAATAGATCAGAAAAAAATATTGTGTAGGCATGTGTACGCCCAGCGTTGCCGTAATAGCTGCAGAGGCACGGTACTTGCAGCCACGCTACCGTGATGAATCGATGCTGAATTTCCGATGAAGGCTATGGAGCGGCCCAGGTTCTTTCATCCACGCCAGACTCTTCAGATGCTATCCATTGTTCAATGTATGGCCACCTGGCACGGCCCGAGGCGATCAGGCCAGCACGGCCGTGCCTACCCACGGGCTGGACCTCAGGCCCAGGCACGGCCCTACAGCAGTCGTGCCGTGCCGGCCTGATGGCACGACGAGCCCACCGTGCCCGGGCCAGCCCAGGCACGCCTAAGACATTTGCCACTTGTTCACTTCAATTTTGCACGTACAGTTTGAAAATACAAAGTCCATCACAAAAACCATGCACAAAATCAGTGCATCACAAGTTAACATATCACAATATCACAAATCAAATACAAAGTCCATCACAAAAACCATGCACAAAATCAGTGCATCACAAGTTAACAGATCACAATATCACAAATCTCACAGAATACAAATCATAGATTACAAATCACAGTTCACAATTCAAGTCACAAACACTTTAAAAAATAATAGTAGCTGTGTAGTGCAATGGCTGCCTCATTAAAAACCTTTCTAGGTAAAAACTCACACCTCGTGAGAAAACCCTAGAAAGGAAAAAAGAGTGCAGCCCACAACTTTCATCTAATTATCATATTAAAGTCCAAGTCCAGTACAGTCATCCAGTTCCTCAAATGATTTTATAAGCTCTACATTCTCCATGGTATGCTGCAACTTCTTGTCTGCCTGCACCCAGTCCTTGATCAATGCCAAAGCTTACACCATGTCAGGACCTAGACGCCGTCGTCGCTCCTCAATGATCCTGCCAGTTAAGCTAAAAGCAGACTCCGACGATATAGTAGAAACAGGAACAGTCAAGACATCTCTAACTAATATGGACAGAATAGGATATTTGTGTTTGTGCTCATGTCACCAGTTTAGGATATTGAAGTCATTGTCGAATTGGTTGACAGTGTCACTATCAAGATAGGCAGACAACTCAGAGGCATTCAAGTTAGCATTAAAAGAAACAGCCTGAATCAAAGTAGTAGCAAAAGTTCTCATGGAAAATGAACCAGCACCAAGTCCAGAACCTGGACTGGCACCAGCACCAAGTCCAAGTGCATCACTGGCACCAAAAATCTTTCCCCAAGCTGTCTTTTTATTACTAGTAGTACTGCCTGGGGTTGTTCTATGTAATCTCACAGCACCAAACTTACTTTCATACTTAGAAAAAATGTCAGACAATGCAGCCCTAACCTCAGTTAAATAAGTAGAGTAATCAGAGGTCATAATTTGTGACATAATTTGTAGAACATTGCTAAAACCTCTGATCTTAGCCCTAGGATCCAAGATAAAAGCAAATGAATATAGAAATGGAATCTCAGACTAGTATGCCAAGAACTTACTTTTCATGGGAACAACAACATTTCTAAGGTCAATATCATTCTCATAAGTGTTAAGATGTCCAGCAATCTCAAGAATGTGATGCATAATTAATGGAGATGTTGGATAATAAACACCAGACAAAATAACAGTTGAATCATAAAATTGTTCAAGGAATAAAAGCACAATTTCAGCAATTGTCAAGTGCAAATCAGTAAGCAATTGTCTACCATTTTCCCTAGGATAATGAGTTGCAATAAACAATGAAAAAAGCTCCTTATGTGGGAAGAGATGCTTAAGCATTAGATAAGTTGCATTCCATCTAACATCCATGTCCAAACCAAACTTACGAGGTCGAACACCCTTAGCAATACACCAGTTTTTGTATAAAACAATGCGCTGATTAGATGCATTCACAAATGAGATGGCTGTTCTAAAATCTTGAAGCATGGGTTTGAAAACTTCTAGACCAGCCTTAACAATCAAGTTGATTATATGACATGCACAGCGCTGATGCAAATATAAATCACCAACATAAGTAGACTGCTTAGGTTTTAGAAAATCCATTGCCTTAGTATTAGAAGAGGCATTGTCTAGAGTAATAGAAAAAACCTTATCAGTCAAACCATATTCTTCAACAACAGAAAGCACACGTTCAGAAATATTCTCAGCAGTGTGCTTCACATCAATCAGCACCAGACCCAAAATCCTTTTCTCTAATTGCTAATCAGAATTAACGAAATGAGCAACAACACTTAAATAATCCTCCTTAGCATTACCAGACCATATATCAGATGTCAAAGCAACATAGTTAACATACTTGAACCTCTAAATAAGCATAGCACGAATCTTGTCAAAGTACTTAAAAACATCTCTACTAATAGTTTGCCTAGAGACAGCATGGAATCTAGGGTTATGAGCATTCTGAATGTACTCCTCAAAAGCAGGAGATTGACCAAAATTAAGTGGCAGATCCTCTACAGCAATCAAATTAACCAACTCAGTTCTAGCATAATCAGGATCATATTCCCATGGACGAACAGTACCATCAGCATTGAACTTAAGCATAGACTGAGACAAATTATTAACAGTTCTAGGTTTGCATGACTTAAGATGCCTAAGTAAATGACCAGTGCCACCAGATGAACGAGCAGACAAAGTTTTTTTTTTGCAGTGATTGCATTTAGTAGAAACGCGAACCTGCATGCCATTACATGATTCAAAGAGTTCTTCGAAGTCATCCCATACCTTGGATGATCTTGGCCGCTTGTTGGTAGCATTGGAGTTGGTGCCGGACGACGTGCTAGTGCCACCATCACCGTCACCGGTATCGTCCACGTCCGGCTCCGTCTCTGGCTGCGACCCATCGAAATGAGGAGGTGACGAAGTGTTGCCGAACACATGCACGTGTTCCTCCTCCAAGTCATCTTCGTCATCACCCCGCATCCCCATCAACCTCAACTCGTGGTTGCAAGAGGATGGATTGTCCATCGTCGGCACTCCGGTTCCTCAACGGCAGCTACCGCTCAGCGACCTACAAGACACAAAATGAGAGAAGAGAGCAGTTAGGGACTGGAGAGAAGTAGAAAACCAAGAGAGGAGAGAGGAGCAGAGATAGGTGTGTACGCTGTACCTGCGCATCCAGAGCACCGGAGTTGCCGTTGATGATAGAGATCGGCAGATCTATGAGAAGAAGAGAGCAGAGACTGGGTTTGGGGAGTGATCTGACAAAGAGCTCACGGAGAAACGGCGAGCAGGCGAGAGTGGCAAAAAAAATGAAAAAGAAAGAGGAAATCGAGAGCATGGCCGACGATCCGAAGACCGGAGAGGCAGAGACGAGACAAGGTCACGGATCCGGCGAGGCGGCGACCCTCGGTGGTAGATCCGGCGAGGCGTTCATCGGAGACGGCAACGGAGGATGGAGAGATGGAGGCATGGTCGCGTGGAGGTGGAGGCGCGGATCGACGGAGGCGGAAGTGGAGGCGGAGCGGTCAAGGTGGAGGCGGAGATGGAGGCGTGCGTGGATCGGCGGAGGCGAGAAGAAGCGGAGGCGGCTAGGGTTAGGGTTAAGGTTGTGGCGTTGGAGGGAGGCGGACTGACGGAGGCGAGAGGACGCAGCGGCCTTTATATATGCGGCGCGGCGGCGGCTCCCGATGGGCCTCGTCGGGCCGTGCCTACCGTTATACAGGCCTGGGCCGTGCCGGCCCCGTCGTGCCATGCCGGCCCAGCGTGCTGCTGAGGGAGCCCAGGCACAGCCCGGCTGTCGGGCCGGGCCGGCACGGGCACGAACATTGACGGGTCGGGCCGTGCTTGGGCCGGGCCAAACGCCCGTGCCTTGGGCCGGGCCGTCGGGCTGCGGGCCATATGGCCATCTATAGGCACACTCTCTAGTGGTAGCCGGATCGGTGCAAGCAGCGAACAGAGGCAGCACTCACGAAGGCTGATCGGGTCATTCGAACAAAGATATATATATAGTTGTATGTTTGTGTAAGAAAATATGCTATGATATTTCAATGAGAGGAGAACACTATCGTTCACAGTTACAGGGATAATTACAGAAGCAAATAAAGTCTTTGGCACTAGAATTCCAAGTTACCTGCCCCCATCAACTTGCAGACAAGGAGATAGATAGTGTTGAAATATAGATAAGTTTAGTTATCATGTTTCTGTTGTTATCTCTTTATCCTTATCTCTTGTAACCATATGTTGTTATCCCTTTGTAATCGCCATGGTAGAGGCTGTTTCTACCCTATTTAACACGTACCGCGACCCAGCGTGAGGGAATCACGTTCTGTCGGTGACATGGGACCGGGAGTATCATGACTTAGAGACTTGAGGCAGACACGATCACCCACGTGGCCTAACCCCCTCGGGGGGGGGGGGGTCGGGCCCGAGGGTGATACGGCCGCCCTTCTCTTTGTCTCCCCGAGGGGTCGGACCGCTCCCATCTCGGCCCCGAGGGCCGAGGCGCCCCGACCCCTTGTGGGTTTTGCGCCGCGTATATGGGGTAGGTGAGCATAGCGGGGCTCACCTAACCACATTTATTGCGGTTTGGACGAGCGCGTCACGCCGCATGAAACGTAGTGCAGCGCACTCGTTTATCCGGTCTGTGACCAGTCACAGACCGATCAGATCGTGGGTTAGGTGGCGACAGGCGGTCTGACGCACGCCTCGCCCCATCCCATCAGGATGAGAGCCTCCAAGCACTCGTCCCTAGCCGGAGCCGGCGTGTTAGCTCCTGGAGATGGCACGTTGGTCCCGGTCAGATATATACCAGGCTTCATCCTAACCATTACAAGCAAGACATTGTATGAAGAGGGGCGAACATGCAGATTGTTAAACTGACACGTGGTGGACAAGAATGACCGATTTGTGACCGGTCTGACAATGGTCATGTCGTCAGCAGACAGCCATGTTCCCACGTCGCGCCTGCCTCCGGCAGAAGTGGAGGTAGGTATGGGCCGTCCCATCAGAAGGTCATTCGGACGGCAGCCATACAAATCTCCGTCCATTAATGAAGAGAAGTCAAGTTGGAGGGAAGAGAGGATGAGTCCCCACACAAAAGAAAGAGAGGGAGAGATGGTGCATGTGGTATCCCCTTGAGATATAAAAGGAGGACCTTGCCCACTTAGAGAGGAAAAAAAAAGAACGATCCCAGAACGATCGGGGGCTGGCTCGCACTTTGTAGCTTCTTTATACACAGATCCACCAAAACACAGGAGTAGGGTATTACGCTTCTCAGCGGCCCGAACCTGTATACATCGCCCGTGTCTTGTGCTTTTTCCATTCTCGCGAACTTTCCACAGACCAGGAGCTTAGAATCTCACCCAGGGCCCCCGGCCGAACCGGCAAAGGGGGGCCTGCGCGGTCTCCCGGTGAGGAGCCCCACGCTCCGTCACGTTCCATCTAGTTTTCCTATATGGTATCAGAGCCCTCTCCCTCCAGATCAATCTAGCTCATCTCGCCATGGCGACGTCGTCCTTGGCGGCTCCCTCTCTCTATGGTCAGGAGGTGACTGAGAAGCTGACCAAGGCCAACCATGTTCTTTGGAAGGCGCAAGTTCTCGCCACCCTGCGAGGAGCGCAGATGGCGGGGTTCCTGGATCGCTCGATCCAACCACCACCAACAATAATCATCCTTGCCACGAAGGACAAGGACGGGAAGGAGACCACCAAGAAGGTGGCAAATCCGGCGCTTCTCCAATGGCAGGCGCAAGAACAGCAAGTTCTCAGCTACTTGCTGACGTCTCTGTCAAGGGACATCCTCGCTCAGGTGGCAACCTTCACCAACGCAGCAGACGTTTGGGATGCCATCGAGGAGATCTTCAACTCGCAGTCCCGTGCGCGTATCATCAACACGCGCATGGCTCTATCATCTACTGTGAAAAGGTAACCGTAGTATTGCCGAGTATGTTGGAAAGATAAAAGGGCTTGCAGACGAGATGGCATCTGCTGGAAAAGCCCTTGATGATGATGATCTGATCTCCCATATCCTTGCTGGTTTGGATTTTGATTATAATCCTGTTGTGTCCTCGATTACGGGATGCACCGAGTCTGTTTCCTTTGGTGAAGTCTATGCGCAGCTGCTGAGTTTCGAGCAGTGTCTTGATCTCCTTCAAGGAGGCTCTCAGTCCTCCGCTAATGCTGTGTCGCGAGGAGGGCGCGGCGGCGGCGGCAGAGGCGGCGGACGCAATGGAAATGCCAACCGTGGTGGTCGCGGCGGTGGCAGAGGTGACGGTGGCTCCTTCAACAACAACAATCGTCCGACATGCCAACTCTGTGGCAAGATCGGCCACACCGTGCACAAGGTGCTGGAAGAGGTTTGATGCCTCTTTCACTGGGGAAGACAAGAGTGCCAATGTCACAGCCTCGTCCTACGGGGTTGACACAAACTGGTACATCGACTCAGGCACCACCGACCACATTACCAGTGAACTTGACAAGCTGACGGTGAAGGACAAATATGCCGCAACGATCAAGTGCACACGGCAAGCGGCTCAGGTATGGACATTAACCATGTTGGTCGCACCATTATTCACACTTCCACTCACAAGCTTTATTTTAATAATGTTCTTCATGTTCCTGATACAAAGAAAAATCTAATTTCTGCCTATCGCTTGATGCTTGACAACCATGCCTTCATTGAACTTCATCCTTCCTTCTTTTTGATCAAGGATCAGGCAACGAAGATGCTGCTGTTCCGCGGCAAATGTAGAGCCGGCCTATGCCCACTTCCATCATCTACGTTTCACAATAAACAAGCTCAGCAAGTCCTTGGCGCTTTCAAGGTTTCCCCGACGTTGTGGCATAGTCGGCTTGGCCACCCGTCGTCAGCTATCGTTGATCGAGTCCTTAGCTCAAATAAATTACCCGTGTCTTCTGAGAGTACTCAGAATCAAGTTTGTAATGCTTGTCAGTAGGGTAAAAGTCATCAATTACCTTTTCCTAAGTCTGTTAGTGTGTCTAAAGCTCCTTTAGAGCTAGTTTTTTCGGATGTTTGGGGACCAGCTCCCTCCTCTGTGGGCAATAAGAACTATTATGTAAGTTTCATTGATGATTTTAGTAAGTTTATATGGGTCTATTTGCTCAAACACAAGTCTGAAGTTTTCTCCAAATTTCGTGAATTTCAGACCCTTGTTGAACGTTCATTTAATACTAAAATCAAAGCTATGCAAACCGATTGGGGTGGTGAATATCAAAGAATCAATAGCTTCTTTTCTCATATTGGCATAGCACATCTTGTCTCTTGCCCACACACACACCAACAGAACGGCTCAGCTGAACGGAAACACCGGCATATCGTTGAAATAGGCCTAGCTCTCCTATCCCATGCCTCAATGCCCCTCAAGTTTTGGGATGAAGCCTTTGTTACAGCTGCCTATCTCATTAACCGGGTTCCTAGCCGGGTAATCAACTTTGAGACACCTTTAGAATGTCTCTTTGGCATCAAACCTGATTACTCTGCCCTTCGCACCTTTGGTTGCGCTTGCTGGCTGCATCTTTGTCCTTATCAAGCTCATAAGCTATCCTTTCGATCTAAATAGTGTGTTTTCCTTGGATATAGCCTCCTTCATAAAGGGTTTAAATTAAATGCTTGGATGTTGCTTCCGGTTGGGTTTATATCTCTCGCGATGTTGTGTTCGATGAAACTGTGTATCCATTCGCTACTCTTCATCCGAATGATGGCGCTAGGCTTCGTACTGAACTCCTCCTTCTTCCCGATAGTTTCTCTCCTACCACTCAATCTGATCATGGGGGTGAAATAGTGCACCAACCGCTGGTTAATTGTTCTCCTAATTTTTCTGATCAAATTGGTGAGAATTCTTCAAGAACAGGAGTTGCTCAGATTGGTGGTTCAGCTACTGGAAGCAGCGAAGCAGAAACCAGGTCGCCGGGTAGCGCCAGCAGAGAAGAAAGCGTTTCACCGGAGGAAACGCATGATTTTATGCATGGTCCTGTGCAGTCTCAATTTTCTATTGGTGCAGCTGGCGCAGGAAATGATGATGGTTCACCAGTGCTACGTGACGTGTCAGCAGAGCTGCAGTCAGACAGTGATGCTGCACCAATCTCTTCATCACCTAGTACTAGTGCACCGAGTGGTGGAGTAGTGCATGGCACACATGCTGACCAAGTCACGTCGCCATCATCAGCAGCGTCAGTGCAGTCTGAACAGGAGCAGCAGACAACACAGGCAAGTGATCAGACGAGACCAGTCATGAGACTACAGAAAGGTATTTCTAAACCCAAGAGGTATACAGATGGGACTGTTAGGTATGGATGTCTTACTACTACTGGTGAGCCAGAAAATCTCCGAGAGGCTATGGCAAATAGTAATTGGAGGCTTGCCATGGAACAAGAATACTCTGCTCTTATGAGTAATAAAACTTGGCATCTAGTTCCACCAACCCAAGGTAAAAATATAATAGATTGCAAGTGGGTGTATAAGATTAAAAGAAAAGCTGATGGGTCAATAGACAGGTATAATGTTAGATTAGTTGCAAAAGGGTTCAAGCAGAGGTATGGTATTGATTATGAGGACACTTTTAGTCCAGTTGTTAAAGCTGCAACGGTTCGCCTAATTCTGTCTATTGCAGTCTCAAAAGGTTGGAGTTTGAGACAACTTGATGTTCAAAATGCCTTTCTGCATGGATATTTAGAAGATGAAGTATATATGAGACAACTCTCAGGTTTTGAGAACAAAGGCCAGCCTAATTATTTGTGTAAGTTAGACAAAGCCTTGTATGGCTTGAAACAGGCACCAAGGGCATGGTACTCTCACTTAAGTACGAAATTGCAAGAACTTGGATTTATTTCTTCAAAGGCTGACACCTCCTTGTTCTTTTATAACAAGGGTGGTTGCACTATATTTATTCTTGTGTATGTTGATGATATCATTGTTGCCAGTTCTTCTTCAGAAGTTGTTGCAGCCTTACTTAAGGACTTGGAGAAGGATTTTGCATTGAAAGATCTTGGAGATCTACACTACTTTCTTGGAATTGAGGTCAAGAAAGTGAGTCAGGGACTTGTGCTATCACAAGCCAGGTACGCTTCTGATATTCTCAAGAGAGCTGGAATGTCTATTTGCAAACCAGCTAGTACACCTTTATCTACTACTGAAAAATTGTCTATTGAAGATGGAGATTTCTTAGGACAAAATGATGCTAGTCATTATAGAAGCATTGTAGGGGCTTTGCAGTATCTCACTCTGACTAGACCAGATTTATCATTCTCAGTAAACAAGGTCTGTCAATTTCTACATAGTCCTACTACAGTGCATTGGTTAGCAGTAAAACGAATTTTAAGGTATATAAAAGGGACTGTGGAATTTGGACTTAGATTTGGTAAGTCTGATTCTATGCTTATTAGTGCTTTTTCTGATGCTGACTGGGCTGGTTGTTCTGCTGATAGAAGATCTACAGGATGTTTTGCAGTTTTCTTGGGTCCTAACTTAATTTCTTGGAGTGCTAGAAAACAGGCTACGGTTTCTAGATCTAGTACTGAAGCAGAGTATAAGGCCTTAGCTAATGCTACGGCAGAAGTTATGTGGGTAAGGAAAATTTTGGATGAATTGAGAATTGCAAGACCTTCGGTAGCACAATTGTGGTGTGATAATTTGGGAGCTACTTATTTATCAGCTAATCCAGTCTTTCATGCAAGGACAAAGCACATTGAGATTGATTATCATTTTGTGAGAGAGCAAGTTGCGAAGAAGCTACTTGATATACGATTTATATCTACAATAGATCAGCTAGCTGATGGTTTCATTAAATCCCTGCCGGCGCCGAGTTTAGCACAGTTTAGACACAATCTCAACTTGGGCTAAGTTGTGATTGAGGTGGGGTGTTGAAATATAGATAAGTTTAGTTATCCCGTTTGTGTTGTTATCTCTTTATTCTTATCTCTTGTAACAATATGTTGTTATCCCTTTGTAATCGCCACGGTAGAGGCTGTTTCTACCCTATTTAACACGTACCGCGACCCAGCGTGAGGGAATCGTGTTCCATCTAGTTTTCCTATAGATAGGACTACCTGTGCTCCTTTTGCCAAAACTTTCTGAGCCCACCATAGAGTTTGGGAGAACTTTTCAGCAACCCCTGAGATAAAGTTGGCAATGAAGATTCACAAGTTGACCATCATCTTCTACTAGTATATGTATATTTATACAATACCAGCTTAATTTGGACAGAAAGTGAAGACCAAATTTCCAGTTTTTTTGCAACCATTAATCCACCCCTTTCCGTGGATGCAGCCAGCATAAATTTTCTAGACTTACCGTGGATATGATGCTTTGGAATTTTGGTTTATGTACTGCTACTAGCTAGCTAGCTAGTTCATCTCATCCTAACAGTAATTGACGTACTAGCACAACAGTGCGTGCAGCTGATTCATATAAAAGAAATAAAGAAAAAGAAAAATCGATGTGCAGTTTGATCACTTAGCTAGATGATCTCCTGCATGCGATGGTGGACGATATGCATGTTGGCGGCTTGCCTCTTTTTTTGTTGTTGTTGTTGTGTTTGTTCATGATGATCGATCAGTGGCTGTCTGCGTCACAGTCACTACTGATGCTCCCTCCATTTGACAACCAATGCAAAGAATCCAGAAGCATGATCGATCAGCTGTTACTGCTTTATGAAAAAGGAAGAGGGGATCGATCGCTTTCTTGCTTTCATTTTTTTCCTTCCTTTCTTTCTTTCTTTCTGTTAGTTCCATTCAAGTATGAATGATTGCTTCGTTCAAGATGTTTTATTACCCGTGTCTCTTGAGAGTGTTAGTGGCTCTAGCTAATTAATTCCCACTACTGAGTGCTAATAACTCCCGCTAAAGCTAAGCTAAGCTAAGCTAGCTGCATCTTTGTGCATATACTGTCTGCGTCTCCTATTGTTGGCAACGTCGTAATTAACTTTAGCATCTTATGATGGTGCCTGTCTGCCTGCTCGAAATCGAAACGGATGGATGGCAAATTGGCAATATGGCATGGCTAAGCAAGCTAGCTTGATGCAGCAGCAAGAAAGCAATAATTACTTATTTAAGGTGGTTGGATATCCTCCTATATTCTTATCGTGCTTGGATCTGCTCTCAGAATATCCAACCTAGCTAGCCTGCAAGCAAGAGAGTGTAGCTACTCGATCCGATCCAATGTCTCTCATCACGGATGAGTCTCCTAGGGATTGCTCCTCCTACAAGCATCAGCATCATCATCGCGCCATCCATGGTCGCCGAATTAGCCGCCGCACTCTGGTGGTGGCGTCCTCAGCGGTGGTGTCTCTGGCATCGCTGTCGCTCATCCTGTGGCTCGTCCTCCGCCCATCCCCCCCGCGCTTCTCGCTGCTCGCCGCCACCACCACCGCCAACGACTCTGCCTCTGTCGTCGCCATCAACGCCGCCTTCGCCGCCCGCAACCCCAACTCCCACACCGCCGTTCTCTACGACCGCCTCCAGGCTAGCGCCTCCTACGCCGGGCTCCCTCTCACCGCCCCCTCGCCGCTGATCCCGCCCTTCTTGCCGCAGCAGGGCCAGGGCGACGCCATGCTCTCCGCGTCGCTCACGTCGCCACCGGCAGCGGCTGCTGTGGCGGGAGGGCGGGCGCTGCTGAGGCTGCGCGTGGAGGGGCAGCTCCGCTGGAAGGTGGCGGCGTGGGTCACCGGACGCCACGCGCTCACCGTCGACTGCATCGCCGTTGTGGAGCTGCAGCCGACGCCGACGCCGTCGCCGAGCGCGATCGTCGGCGTCCTCCAGCCCCAAGATCAGGCCGGCTCCCGCTGCTCCACCACCGTCGCCTAATAATATAATATCCATCAAAACCAACACCACAAACCATGCAAACTGATCGATGGATGCATGGAGGAACAGTCCTAGTTCTTGTACATGTACATGTATTCTCTCTCGCGTTATGTATGTATATTGTCCTGTACCGCGCGCGGTAAACAAGTAATAAATCAAAGCAATCTGAATCGTACAACGTATTTCATGTGTTGCTTTGATTTTTTTGGCTTTCAGCTGTGGTGCTCTGTGTCCCAAAAGTAGGAGTGCCGTACTTGCATTTTGGTTTTAATTTCTTTTGTTCACCACAGGTCTGGTCTGGTCACTCTCACTCACTCTAATTAAATCGATTTTTTATTATTACTCCAGTTCATTCGGTGTGTGAATGTGAATCTGCCTGTGTTGTGTATGCGACTATGTGCTTATGAAATTTCCTGGAGTACACTTAAGGGCGGCCGATTTTCGTCGTCATAAGGAACGGCGCAAAGGAAATTTCGGCCCATACATATGGCCCATCCATAGGCCATCTCAGTGTCTAGGCCAGTCCAGTCCAGTCCAGTCCAGGACGGTCCAGTCCGGTCCCGTAGAGCGCCGGCGCGTGTAGCTTCCTCCTCCGCTCCAGGCTCCAGCGAGGGAGGGAGGGAGACCACCGTCTCCGCCGGCTTTGAGAGAGAAAGAGAAAGAGAGAGAGAGAGAGCGGCGAGATGCGGAAGCGGGATCTGGGCATCCTCCTCCTCGCCGCCTTCGCCGTCTTCTTCTCGCTCCAGGTCAGTCCTAGCTTCTTCCTTCCTTGGTACCAAACCCTAACCCTAACCCTAACCCGCTTGAATTGATCCATGGCCACAGCACGACGGCGACCTCTCCTTCCGCGAGGCCTGGTACCACCTCTCCGATGCCGACTACCCCATCAAGCACGACGCCGACCGCCTCCCCTCTCCCCTAGTCGCCGACCTCAACGGCGACGGCAAACCCGAGGTCCTCATCCCCACCCACGACGCCAAGATCCAGGTCCTCCAGCCCCACCCCAGGCCCTCCCCCGACGATGCCTCCTTCCACGACGCCCGCCTCATGGCTGATGTCTCCCTCCTCCCCTCCAACGTTCGCCTCTCCTCCGGGAGGCGCCCCGTCGCCATGGCCGTTGGCACCGTCGACCGCCACTACGCCCACGCCCCCTCCCCCTCCAAGCAGCTCCTCGTCGTCGTCACCTCCGGATGGTCCGTCATGTGCTTCGACCACAACCTCAAAAAGCTCTGGGAGGCTAATCTCCAGGACGATTTCCCCCACGCCGCCCACCATCGCGAGGTTGCCATTTCCATTACCAACTACACTCTCAAGCATGGGGATGCAGGTTTGGTCATCGTCGGAGGAAGGATGGAAATGCAACATCATGTAATTATGCTTACTTTTCCTCTTTATACCACTGCTGCTCATCTACATGTTGTAAAACACACATCATACTTCTTTTTTTACATGTGCCCAAATGATTCGAAAATAATAACCATATTACTAGTTTGTAATTCAAGTTGCATTCCAGAATAACTCAGGGCCACCAGCATAGAACCATCCCTCGTTTGTAATTCAGGCAAGGCTACGCAAAAATCGTTTTCCTCCTTTGCAGTAGGATTTATTCTTTTATAGAATTTGCTGTTATGTGTGGATGCCTTTATTTTTTTTGCTACATTTCTACAAAATTAATTTTAGATACTTCAAAGTTCTAATTCTATCATATAATGCTTGACCATCTTGTTGAATCCTTACTGATAATAACATCTTATTTTCAAACTTTCTCTTTTGGCTTGAATATGTTAACTTACGGTAGTTACTTGTTTGTCAGTCAGCAGAGCTTTTCGATGAATTTATGGTGTCAGAACACAACAGGGAAGAGCACCGTAGAAGCGCCAGTGAGAAGCAGGTTATCTTGTATTTGTAAGCTTATCAGTTAGTTTATATTCTCTGTGCCCCATGAAAAAATAAAACTGTGGGCAATATTTTATATCGAGAAAACAACAACCAGAGTACGTTGTTGTATCCTTGCTCCTTCACCTGATGAAGGCCTAACCTGCGCTGGTATTGCGCTTTGATGTCATGCAGGCTTCTGAGACAGGCAACACAGACCTGCGTCATTTTGCCCTTTATGCTTTTGCTGGCCGCACTGGTGAATTAAGATGGAGCCGAAAGAATGAGGTGCACCCATCCTGTAGTCCATGACTTTTACTTTATAGTTTATACTACTATTTATTTCAAGGATGTTGCCACTTCTGTGCATTTTGTGTCATGCATTAGCATGCACAGGACATGAATAGCTTGGAAAGCTTGCCATACATTATTCATGTGTTTCTGTTTTGACAAAACAGAATATCCCATCGCAACCATCCGATGCTTCAGTGCTGATACCACAACACAATTACAAGCTTGATGCCCATGCCCTTAATAGTCGTCATCCTGGTCAGGTGAGAATTGTGCCTAGCACTCTTGATAATGGTATATTTGCCAACAGAAGTCACAGTTACATACTTAAATCTGAGCAAGTGTTATGTTTCTGTTGATATTTGTTCTTTGTTAGCTTGGTTTAATTATCATGATGTCGATCATCTTCAGCCAGTATAGGTGGCTGTCTTGACTCTTTAGCATATTCAGCATTCCCACTTATGTACACCAGAATGATTTGCGTGTGTTCTACAGGAATGTACTTTCAAATCCATTTGTTCTTTGTTAGCATCTTTAGCCACGTTTCCTTCAATTCCTTACTCATTCTCTGCATGTTGCTGCTGCTAATATTTCTGATTGATGAACCAATAGCCTGAACATCTTTGAACAAAATTTAGTGGATTGGTAAATATCAAATTCTGCTGCCATGTTGCTTTTGATTTGGATTTCAATGTCAAATGTGCTGTTATTTTACCACAAGATGCTACACAGTTGGTTCTTGTAGTAAATATGATCTCATTACAAGCTAACATGGCATATATGGTTTCAGTTCGAATGTCGGGAATTTAGAGAATCAGTTCTTGGGGTCATGCCTCATCATTGGGTAAGAATAGATATTAGATAACTACTATATCATATTTCTCTAATTTAATTTTTTGGGATGATCAACTCAGATTGATTTTTTTTTCCTTTTCAGGATAGGAGAGAGGATACTTTTCTGCAACTTGCCCATTTTAGGAGGCATAAAAGGAAAGCACTGAAGAAAACACCTGGAAAAGCTGTTGTAAATAACGTGCACAAGCCCAGTGAACATAATCCACCTGGAAAGGATGTTTCCAATAGGTTAGCAAATGTGATTGGGAAAGCTGCAGATATGGCTAATTCAAATAAAATCAAGAAGGTATAATGCATGCAGACACAAACACATAGTTCTTACGCACTAGCATGTTGACTGTGTTGTTCTTTTTGTGTTTGGTGTTTTGGGGAGGGGGGAGGGGGGAGGGGGAGTTGCATGAACGCAGTAGTGGTAACGTGCATGGGCCAACGTAGGCACCAGGAGCAGGAGCACTCGTGATTGCACGGCGCACAGAGCTACTCAAGATGGAGAGGATGGTGGCGTGGGGAGGGGAGAGGATAGGATTTGAAATGAGGCAGATCAGTGGAGGCAGTGGTGCTGGCAGTTACTGGGCCAAGATGACATTGTAGGTGGTCGGGTAGAAGGAAAAAGAGAAGATGGCAGGGGCAGTCGAGGGTTCTTAAGAGTGGATTTGGTGTTCACCCAGTAGGAAATGGGTGAAGATTTGCCCAGTAGGGCCTCCCTTACTCTCATTTCAAAATGTATCCTCTCAATTTATCTGCAAGTGTGTTCGTCTTGAAGATACTGTATACTTTCCGATCCATTTACTGTACTCTCAAAATTAGTGTTAAATTGTATCCCTGGAACTATATTCTAAATAAGTAAGAACAGTCAAACTTTGAACCAAACATACTTACCTAACAAGTTCATGTCTCGTCCTCAGCTCTACTTATCTGCATGATTATGAGACTATGGGCACGTCCTAACTGGTTGATTGTATAGATTACGGATAGAAAAAAATGCTCATTTTTGGAAGTAGCTTAGAAAAAGTTACCTAAGCAATGCTGATGTAGAAAGTTTTGGGAGAAATCATACTTTGCTGGAAGCCTGGTATGAATAATCCATACCTCACATTAGCTGTTTAGGACGCACACTATATATACTCATGAGAACAGATGCATTATTTTTCTATAGAAATCAACGAATAACACACGTGTCCATGTATTTGCACTCAAAATATCGTGAGTGGGAGTGGGTGGAGAATATGCCATCGCCCCCAATTCCCTATTTTGAAGTGTATAAGATATAAGATAAGATTAGATTGGTGATTGGATTTACTTTCATCAATGATCTGTGATCTCTAGTACTTAAGTAGTGTCTCTAGCTTTTTTTGATTGGTACGTCTTTCCTGGTTCATTTTTTGATTAGTGTATGTCTTTCCTGGTTCAGTGGTGTGAGGTAGGTAGGTGATGTTAATAGCTTGATGTTGGATGTACTTTGTTTATGGCATTCCATGTTAGTGTACTTCATGCCTATGTGAGTTTGGCCCTTACTATTAAAATCGTTGCCTCTGATTAGTGATCTAATGCATAACAATCTAAAGACTCACTCGGTAATTCATTAAGATACATCTGATATCTTTTATGTGCATAGTGCAGTCCTCCTTCAATTATTGGCATTCATCACTTATTCAGGCGATTCTTACATAAATTGCATGTTGTTTCTTTGCTGCATCATAATTCTTTTTCCCCCAATACAATCACAGTGGTCTCACACCAAAATTTTATTTACATATATCGTGTTACTTTATCATGAAATGTAACATCTTTCCTCTACTGCAGTCACAAAGGACGCTTTATGTTCCGACAATCACCAACTATACTCAAGTTTGGTGGGTTCCTAATGTTGTTGTTGCCCACGAAAAAGAAGGGATAGAGGCTGTTCATCTAGCTTCTGGACGTACAATCTGCAAGGTTGCAAGATATATCTCAGTGATATTTGTGTTTTCACGTCCCTGCCAAAGCTTGTCTAATTAGTTCATTGTAAATTATTTATTTGTTTATAGAATTTTCATTGCCTGGTCCACTGGCTGACATCAAGCTACAAATAGTGTTGAATACTACCTGAATGGTCACTAAAATCAATCTATGTTTGCACTTGCATATGTACACATTATGCATATATTTTTTAGCAATCATTTTCCTTCTAAGGAAATCATAATTCACGTGTGCGCATAATTTACATGTCTGTAATCCCATCATACAACTTTTCTGTCTTTGTTTTCTGATTTTTTTTTCCATTTCCAGCTTCATTTAACAGAAGGAGGCCTTCATGCAGATATTAATGGAGATGGGGTTCTAGACCATGTTCAGGTGTGTTGAGCGTTGAGATTAGAGAGCAATTTACACTTTTCATTTCCATTTTTTTAGAATACAAGTCTTCATGCCACTATATTTTGTCTGCAACTTCAAGGAGAACTGTGGAAGTGTGGATTAGTCCATTAAGCGAGTTAGCTGCTTGAGTCATGAGGTGTTATGGTGTACTTTACATCTTATAAAGTCAATGAAAAAAATAAGGGGCAATTGCAAATTTACCACTGCTTTGAATCGTTATTGCAAGGCTACCACTAGAAAATTGCAAAAATGCCACTAGAACTGTCATTCAAGTGGCATCCTTACAAAATTGAAAAAACTGGTGGCAAATTTGCAAATGCCCCAAAAAATAAATGTTTCAGGATTTTCACTTAGTTCAATTAATCAATATGACCTTTAGTGACACTGAAATGTTCTTTTTTTCTCTCACTAGTTTTGCTATCTTTTCACACTAGTATATACTTTTTAATAAAGTGTTAGTTATGTTATATGTATGCCTTTTCTCATAAATGACTGCAAAAAAAAAGGTATGCAATGTCCAAACAAAAATGTGAACAAGAACACCCCCTTGTCACTTTGCAATAAATAATCTATTTTCATGTTTACCACAGGATGTGTACTGAATTAGATATACAGGTACACAAGTCCATAATCATATTTCTTTGCTTTCAATGTGCATTCAAATTTATTGTAGTTGTTTTCTTTAGTAGCTTCACTTGTGCCCTACTTGTTATTGTTATCTTCCAGTGTAAAACTGAGTGATAATGTCTTCTGTAGGTTGTTGGTGCAAATGGCATCGAGCAAACAGTTGTTAGTGGTTCAATGGAAGTGCTGAAACCTTGTTGGGCAGTAGCTACATCTGGTGTGCCAGTGCGGGAGCAACTTTTTAATGTTTCTATCTGCCATTACAACAATTTCAATTTGTTTCATCATGGTGACTTTTCAAGAAGTTTTGGGAGGACATTTGATACAACTGGCTTAGAGGTGGCGACTCCTATTCTGCTCCAGAGAGATGATGGTCATAAACACAGGAGAGGAAGCCACGGGGATATCATCTTTCTTACGAGTCGTGGGGAGGTCAGCACATCACTGTTTTTCCTTGGAAATTCCTATCATTAATGATAATTATACATTGTTGTCCTTGTTCCACATGTGCATTTCTTTTCAACTTTCCATACCTCCCTCTTGTAATCTGCAATACACTGACTTTCTTTATTATCGTAGGTGACCTCGTACTCTCCAGGTCTACTTGGTCATGATGCAATATGGAGATGGCAACTGTCAACAGGTGCAACATGGTCCAACCTTCCGTCTCCATCAGGGATGATGGAAAACATTGTAGTTCCAACTTTGAAGGCTTTCTCTCTGCGAGCCTATGACCCAAAACAGGTAATCATCGCGGGTGGTGATCTGGAGGCTGTGGTGATTTCTCCTTCTGGTGGTTTATTGGCATCCATTGAACTCCCTGCACCTCCAACCCATGCGCTGGTACTTGAAGATTTCAATGGTGATGGTTTAACTGATATTATTCTGGTAACATCGGGGGGAGTCTATGGGTTTGTGCAGACAAGACATCCTGGGGCTCTTTTCTTCAGCACGCTTGTGGGTTGCTTGATAGTTGTTATCGGAGTGATATTTGTTTCACTGCACCTCAACTCCTCGAACAGCGGTAAACCTAGGGCTTCAACCGACTATAGGTGACGACATTATGTCAGTCGACAGAATTCCTTGTCAATATTGAGGTGTTGTTATAGCATTTGATTTAGATTTTTCATATAATCAACTGCCAACTGGGTTATGTAAACTTGTGCGGCGAATGCATTTTTGGCGTAACATGTTGTATGATTTGGGATGTATTTCTGGCTTAGCTCATATTTAAAGAGGAATAGGCACTTGCCACCATGACATATCGTGCTCTGATCCCTAGGACAATAACCAGTGATTTTTCGTGTGGTTTTGGATACTATGTTTGGTGGTTATATTATTAGTGTGGTTGTAGTTATCCTGAAACCAAGTAGCAGATGGAACGAATTAAGATTTTTCTAATGGAAGCTATGAGCTTTTTATTCATTAATTCTTCCCATCACTCGTGTGCTGGATACACGTGAGAACGCTAACCATGAAAAAAGAAGGGTTAATTTGATCCATGAAGGTTCCATTTGCTGCGTTCATCAATTCCGTTTTGTGACTATGTTGATGCTGGCTCCATCAACATGAATGAATCATGGCTATGGCAAGTCAGCTACATAATACGTACTACGAAGTACTCCCTCCATTCCAAAATACAATGCATAACCACCCATAATCCAAAGACCAAGAAATAATTATCATCTTGTAGTTTGGATCATCCTAATAAATACAATGCATATATCCAATAGAATTAGAGAAGAATTAGAGAACATGAGAGTGGATGATTTAAAAAGGTAATAATTTAATGGAGAAAGGGGTCATAGTTAATTGCCTACATGCATACATGCCTTATACTATTATGGAACATCTAAAAAAAAGTGGTTGTGCCTTATATTATGTAATTATATTATGTAATGGAGGGAGTAGCTATGTATCCAGTGCCAATAAAAGCATAATAAGGTAAAAAAAAATTCCAGCACATGCCTGTTCAAGAGGACCATGATCGACTGGAACAAGAATAGCTTTTGCAAATTGGGCTCATGCTGATGAACTAGTCTCAGGGAATATCAAACTAACAAATTTAATACCTCATAGTATAATCACACGAAACCAAAGATATATGAGCAACAGCATGAAGGAACAAAAATATTCACTGGGTTACTATGGAATCTGCTCACAGCCATAAAATTAATCACAGTGAATTGTTCGGAGACACTGAAGTTCATAATGAACTGAAACTCGACCAAATTTCTAAATCATCAATTCTAACCAAAGTAAACATAATTAAAATGGAAAAGCCGTTCTAGAATTGTTGGTTACAAGTCGTAACTCCAAAGATCATGCGTGATTCGAATGCATCAAGGTTTGATATTTTTCAACGGAAAGTTAGCTGAAATCTCAGGAGAGTGAACTCCAAGATAAAGCTGGCACAGATAGCATGAATGTCAGGCAGCTTGGAAACACCATCCATAATCAACTGATAGACGAGAAGGGATAATCACTTGGTACATTCCAACCACATAACTGAGTTTATTTTGAGTTGTCACAGAGAAGAATGAACATAGTCAGCTAGTCATAGCTGCTATTTTAGTAATTTTGATATCGAAGTTGAGGAACTTATTCTGTAATAACAATAATAATAGCATACATAGTACAAAAAAAATGAGACAAATCATTAGCGCTATCAGTTATCAAGGAACATGCTACTTTACAATTTCCAATAATTACTGAACCGAATGCAAACTGTGTAGCTGGTGTTGTCAAACATGGTAACTCGAACATTGTCATCAACGGTGAAATATAGAGGGACAGGGACTCACAGTTGACGATGACGACGACGATGATATAAACATGTCCAGCGGCTTTTAGCAACTTAGTAAAGGGTGATTGACAGATCCAGGCGCATGAGAAGTGAGGCTGTGTGAACCATGTACAGGGTTGGGACATACTGAAACGTATGTCCTCCAGCAAGTAGGCAGAGCTCGATGGGTGTAGAATATATGGAGTAAGACGTACTATAGTTGTTGTCTTTGGTTAGCAAAGAAGTCGAAGAGGTTGAGGCGCCTCCCTTGGATCTTGTTTGCAATGCTCAGCCTGGTGCTGGTGCTGCTGTTTCTTGTGAGAGGAGTGAGATGGAATCGGAGCGTGCCTGTATCGAGGCTCCTAATCTGAGGCGAGGAGCAGTGAACACTGCGACTGCGGCCGAGGCGGTAGAGTCTCTTGAACAAAGAGGACTGACGTGGGGCAGCAGCAGCAGCATGGATAGAAGAAGAATCCCCCCCCAAGGATATCTCGGAGTCCATTCCGGCAGAAGAGACGGAGGCGGCTTTGGTTGGGACGGCGGGGCGAGAGCGGGCGTGCCTCCAAGACTCGGATAGGGATCTCCTGAGCATCTGGGCAGGCCTGGTGACGAAGCCCCTGGCCCTGATGATGGGGTTGGAATTGGGCGGGGGGGCATCGGCTGAGCCGTCCCATGACTGGCGGGAGTCGGCAGTGGCGTCGCAGCAGACGATCCACTCGCAGGATTGACGGAGGGAGCGCTTGCGCTGCAGCTGGCGACCTTGCTCGTCTTCCTGGTCCACCCGGACTTGCTGCCCTTGGTCTTCCTGGTCGTCGTCGAGCTGGAAGAGGTAGAGGAGCGTAGTCCGAACCCTGGGCTGAGGGATTTCGGTGGAGATCTCTGCGGCTGCGGCTACTGGGGACGGGGAGGGGAAGCAGCGCGCAGGCGCAGTGGAGAGCCTCTCGAGCAGGCAGGCGGAGCAGAATCCCGTGAAGGGGGGCTGCGACGGGTGCTTCGGGCACCGGCTCGACGGCACATCGCCATTGTGATTCATCGACTCCAAGCCGTAGGCGTAGGTAGGGTGGGGGATCTGCGGTGAGGTTTGACTAGGGTTTTGACCAACTTCTCTTGATTTGGGGAAGACTAGAGGAAGAGGAGGAGGAAGACGACCCCACCCCACCCCACCCAGAGAGCCGTTGCCTGCCTTCGTGGGTCTCTTTGTCTTTTCTGCCTTTGATTGAGTACTCCTACAAGACACCGCCACCTGGACCCCACCTCTCTTTTTCTTTCTCCCTCCCATTTTTTTAAGGAAAAATTACGAATTACCCCCCGAAGTATCGTGGTCATCCAAATTACACCCCTGAATCATAAAACCGGACATTCTTCACCCCCAACTATGTAAACCGGATGAATTATCCCCCTCAACCCAATCCGCGGTGGTTTTGATCTACGTGGCAGTGCAGTCAGCAATTTTTTTTATTAAAAAATAGGTAGGCCCCACCTATCAGTTTCTCTCTCTCTTCTATCTCTCTCTCTCCTCCTTCAGACGGCGACAGCGGAGGCAGCAAGCGCGGCGAGGCGAGCGGCAGGGGCGGAGGAGGAGGCAGGGCGGCGCAGGGGCAGGCACGAGCGGCGGCTGGGTGCTGAGCGGTGGCGGCGGGGGCGGAGGAGGCGAGGCGGTAGCGGCTGGGTGCCCACGACCTTTTGTGCCCACATCCCCCTTCGCGTCCCCGCCGCCTCCGAAGGTTTCCTCACCGGCGCCGACTACGCCATCGCCGTCGCGGACTTCGCCATTCCCAAGGTCTCCGTCCCCGTCAGGCTGGTGCTCCAATTGGAGGATCTTGTGCATGTAGTGCCATGCCGTGCGCTGGAGGAGCTCGCTGCCACGGCCGCTGGCGGCATGCTGCAACACCCGGAAGCACGTGTTGACAACGTTGCAGACGACGTGGTCGTAAGACAGGAGCGGAGCAGCGGTGGAGGAGGATGGCCTCCTCGGCACCCGGGTGGGAAAGGGGAGAGAAGCCGCCGCCGCTCGCACCCGTCCCTGCGCCGCCCTGCCTCGCCGCCACTGGTGCCTGCCCCTGCGCCACCCTGCCTCCTCCTTCGCCGCTGCCTCGCCTCCTCCGCCCCCACCACTCACCTCGCCGCCGCGCTCGCCTCTCCGCCGCCGCCTCGCCTCCTCTGCCCCCGCCGCTCGCCTATCCACCGCGCTCGCCTCTCCGCTGCCGCGCCGCACTAGCCTCCTCCTCCGCCGCCGCCGCCTCGCCTCGCCACGCTCACTACCTCCGCTGTCGCCGTCTAAAGGAGGAGAGAGAGAGAGATAGAAGAGATAGAAGAGAGAGAGAAACTGACAGGTGGGGCCCACCTATTTTTTAATAAATAAATTGCTGATTGGACTGCCACGTAGACCAAAACCACCGCGGATTAGGTTGAGAGGGGTAATTCGTCCGGTTTGCATGGTTGGGGGTAAAGAATGTCCGGTTTTGTGGTTCAGGGATGTAATTCGAATGACCGCTATACTTCAGACAGGTAATTCGTACTTTTTCTTTTTTATAATAAAACTCAGCTTCAAGCCCGAAAATACTAAGGAGCCCCACGTTCGGTTGAAAAAACAACTTACTAGTATTAGCCGCGCACAAAACAAAAAAATAATATGATTATCGTATAATTAATTAACGCAAAATCTAACAGAGTTAACTAGTGACGTGTTGGTGGGCCGTCACAAATCGTGTGATTATTACACATATGGATATGGACACAGGTAAAGATAAAGCCTGCAACCGGATAAGTACAGACGTGGAGATACTACAGGAAACAAACCTACGGAATACAATATATTGTTTTCTTTTTTTTGCGGTAATCGTTATGTTATTTTTGTTTCATATAAGAAGTAATTCTTCACGATATTAGAAGTAACTAAACTGTTTTAGGGAAATACCTATGAAAAAATAGAAGTAACTCTTAACGGTGTAAGAGACGACTAGACTACTAGAAAAGTAACTCATAAAAATATATAGAAGTAATTTCTTCATGATATTAGAAGTAACTACTTTGCTACATGTAAATAACTCTTTACGGTATATTAAAAGTATATTGTTATAGGGAAGTAACTATATTGCTATAGAAAAATAATTCTTCACGGTATTTGAAATAACTATGTTGTTACATAAGTTAAGAACAAAAATAGAAATTCAAAATAATTTTGAATATATTAAATATTTGACTTGTTTTGTCACATATTTCGAGTAAAGTACGATGGTTCAAATGGATCTTTAAAATAATATATGGTTTTAAAAAAATAAGTGGTTTTATAAAAAGAATACTAATTAGTTTCTTGTATTATAATGCAATGGTGCATGAATGCCTTCTATTAGAATTTGGAAGGATGTACGTAGGAGAGAGAGGGGGGGTACATACACTACCAGAAACCGGATTAGGCCTGACGGCCAATTATTTTACTGACGTGTACAATGGTTTCTATCGCGAAAAAACTAATTTTCCTGACGAGCATATACCAACATCAGAAAAATAGAATTTTCTTGACCTCGATTGAGTGCGAGACTCCAAAATTAGTACTAAGTTTCTTACCTAGTCTTTTGGCCATGCAAACTCCACAAATTAATACTTTTGTGTTATGTTCAAATAGTGAACTGGAACTACATTATACTGTTACGAGGGATCTATGTGTAGCACTTGATCCATAAGTTAATGAAATATTGAACTTGAACTGGAGGTGTCTATGTGATCCATGATGAATACTGGAAATGAGTATTTTTGCTAATGTGGTGTGTATATTTGATTCATGCCTACGTTCTGGTAGGTTTTCTCCTAATGATTTGTGGCTAGTTGTCTAATTGTCAGGGAAATATATTTTCCTGACGGTCATAACCATCAGAAAAAAACCACAGCAAAACTGTGATAGGGGAGACCATCAGCGATAGATGAATATCACTGACTGCTCACATCAACATCGGGAAAACTATCCCTGACCTGAGTACACGTCAGGAAAATTAATCCTGACGCGCCTCCGTCACCCAAATTTATTTTTCTCTGACAAGCTAGTCCTGACGGAATTTTCCTGACGTTGACACGTCACAAACAATTTTCCTAACGTGTTTTTGTTTTATCCTGACGGTTTTTAGCCGTCATAAGTAATCTAGTTTCTGGTAGTGACGATCCTATTTTTGGTAAATAACATGGGTTTTGCTTAGTACTAATAAGTGTATTTGCACATTTCTTTTTTTAAGCAAGACACACTCACTTGAGGGAAGGACCACACCTGTTTTTTTTTTTTGAAAAGAAGTGTATAGCTGGTTAGCGCTATTGCGCTAGCACGCGTTGTTAGTGTCCATTAATTAAGCACTAATTATTAATTTTTTTAAATAAATTTATTTGGTTTTTTAAAGCAACTTTCTTTAGAAAACAAAATATTGCGGTAGCTAGTGGTTAATGTTGTTATTTAGGTTGCGAACTCGTTGTGTTTAGGTTTTTAATTTTTTTTCATAATTAATGTACTCCCAATCACAAATAATTAAGTAATGTTTGAAGATATATACATGCAATCAATATATATATTGAAACACTAACAATCGATTTCTCTTTTAAATATTTCGATTCACTTTTGTAAGTGAATGTTTAGATTTGTCTTAAAAACAAGTTTCATTATATTACAACTTTGTTATATTTTTATTGGTTTTTTGTGAGTAATTAATAGTCAATCTAATGTATTAGTGTCGACCGTACGTGTTGCTTATGTGGCCTTATTCAAATATCTAATTTAATGCAAGGCAAAACCGCCGTGACTTTCAAAAATAGTTCATTGCCCTACCGATGATAATATAGGTTGATATGTATGTATGGTTGATGCTATTACACATGCATGTCAGATATATCTGCAGAGATAGATAGATGGATATGGAGTTAATTGAACTCATGAGAGAACAAAACCCAACATGTATATTTTGCATTGCTCACTCCATGATTTTTTCTTTTAAAACAATGCAGGGGATGAAAACCCCTCCATCTCAAAATATAAGCATTTTTAGGTCTTAATATGGTCTTCGAAATACTACTTTGACTAACAATATCTATAAATGTAGGATATTTTAAATAAAAAGAGTTACATATTATGATAGTTCGTTTAATGATAGATATAGTGACATCAAATTTACATGATTAATATTTTTAAAATTTTTACTATTAATAGTTAAAATTTAGATAGTTTGACTTGCTACTATTCTAAAAATGATTATATTTTAGGACGGAGGGAATAGCTTATAATTATACAAGAGAACAAACTACAAAGATTAATGAATGTTTATGGTAATAATTAATTAATTAGCCCCTTCCTCCGATCCATAACTAATTAAGGGGCGGGGGATAAATTGTTGGATCGCGCGCTCCATGAATTGGAGGCCAAATAGACAAGATACATATACAAACACATTGGTTGCAAACAGAAAAACACAGGTGACTAGTTGGCTAGCGTCGTTGGTTTTAATTGCCAGTGTTCCAGCACAATCGGTTCGTATTTGCGCTGCTCCTATACGGATCTCACAGAGAATCAAGTGGCTTAAAAATCGATTGTAACCAGGGCAAATATATGTCGACATAAATTTAGCAAAACCGAACACCGTTTGATACACAACACATGCATACATGCATGTACCGTACCGATGGATGTGGGTGCGGTACTTAGCTACTCCTAGAGAGCAACAAATTAATTAGAGGCCCGCCCAATTAAGCTTGAGCTATATACATATAGTCATCGATGGAATGAAGTATAGTAGGTAGCAAGCAGAGGTCGGTCTTGCGACTGAATTGAACACATACACATATATATATATATATATATATATATATATATAGGGAATTACTAGCATGCTAAATTGGTAATGCTAGCTAAATTGGTAGTATATAATTAAGCTATAGGTGGGAGATAGCAATGCAAGTAGACAGTAGTAGCAGCTAGATTAATTAATTAGAAGAAGGCGAGCCTAAGCTCAAGGTCGAGACCGGCGTCGGCGTCGGCGTCGGCGTCAGCTGGAGGGCGGGGCAAGTGCGGCGGTGAGCTGCTGCTGGCACCGTCGTGTGGAGGAGGAGGAGGGTAGTTGAGGTTGGGAAGAAGAGGCGGCGTCGACTTGGTGGAGGGGGAGGCGATCAGAGCTGCATCAGGTTGATGGGTGAGCCTGAGCCTGGCTCTGTCCCTCCGATGGACGTTCATGTGGCCGCCGAGGGCCTGCGCCGACCGGAACTCCCTCCTGCAGAAGCCGCAAGGGTACGACCTCGCCTTCTTCGCCTGCAGGATCAGCTGCTGCTGTCTCCATGCCTCCTCCCTCCTACTACTGCCGCTGCTGTTATTCATCCCCTCTCTCTCTCTCTCTCTCTCTCTCGCTCTCGCTCTGGATATCAATAGCTACTACTTAGAGGCCTACAACTCGCTGCTGCTAGCTAGCTTATATATATATGCAGTCAGGCAGACAACACCATCGGTCGATCGATCGATCTCCTAATTCCTTCTCTATGACTAACTAGCTCTCTCTCTCTCTCTCTCTCTCTCTCTCGTATTCGTATAGCTCTAGCACGGAAATGCACACAGCTGAGCTGACTGACACAGATGAACAGCACGCACCACTGTACATCATGCCCTAACTACTGTAGCTAACAGAACAGGTGCTACTACTAGTAGTTGAATTGCACTGTTTTTGTGCTGGATATGCATGCCTTGACCGGCCCATTCTTGTGCTACTACTGGTTCGCTCTTGCTCGCTTCAATTCTTCCGATCCACCATGGATCGCCTCGGTAATGTGCGTCTCGATCGCCATGCATGCACGCACTTTACTTTGTCAAACCTTGTGCAGTGAAATCTTTCCTTGTATACTCCAACAAACTGAGGCTTCCCGTCCATGACCATCTTTTTTTTCTTGAACTACTCGCACTAGGCAGTGTGAAGTTCATATTGATATGTAGAGCAATAAAAAGGAACAAAATTATAATCCTGGAATATCGTAACCAGTGAAAAGGAAAAAAATAATACCACCACCCACACACCGACAGCTCTAACATACAGACCCATAAGAAGGCTAGCACCGGACCGGCCGCCGCTAAACGTGACCAACCGCCGCTAGGCCAACAAAGGAACTACAGTCGAGATCACCCAAAACTCAATCCTTAAAACCGACATGAAACCCTGCTCTATCCACATCTTTAGGATTGAGAGAGAGAGAGAGGGGGTGAGAGAGAAGAATGGAACCGCTCTCCTCCTAGGCCCTCCGATATGGCCAACTTGTCGAAACTAGGACGCTAACACAAGATGACGTGAATCTAGAGCAAGCTTGCTTTAGTTGTTTGGGAGGTTTTGACAAGGGGTTGTCTAGACGAGTCTCCAAGGAGAGAAGCGACGGAGCACTGCCGCCGTCGTCCGCTAGAGGGGAAGTGACGCTCGCTCGAGTGGCCATTCATCACCACCTAATTTTAGCCGAGAAAAAAGAGTTAGCCAAAATTAGTTTAATTTGTATTAATTCTTGAAGAAAAACCGGTGGCACGGAAAAGAGAGTAGGGTTGAAGAAATACTAATTTTTACACTAATAAGAGAGTTGTTTTTCCTCGATCTGTAGTGCTCCCGTCACAGCCACGTTCAGTTCCGTGAGTTGGGATGGAGGAGAAAGACTAATTTTCCCTTGCTCCTTGGCACCTATGACTTGTTTCATCAATGGATAGATTTCTGCATACACACGAATGGCAACAACTCGATTTATATTGGTCTGTAATATCGATCATACACCATGTATAGCATTATTTATTTTTATCATTAACAAAACTCCACTATGTGGTACTGTGGTGTTTTTATCGTTAATTATACATTAACATGCCTGGAGTTGCCACAAATTAAACAAACGATCCAAACTAATTATATTATACATATATAATTGATCAAGTCGACTCCAGTTCCCGGGCAAAACTTTGTTCCGGTATGTGCAGGGCTATAGAAGGATGATTAATTATTTTCTTATTACTACATAAGCAGCTAGTGCTCCGTTCCTCAGCTGGCCACTCAGGTCAGGTGTAGTTCTGGATAATCTTGGAGAGGGATGAGTATGTCCCCACGCAAGCGCAGCAAACCCCTACCACGATGATGAATGAGCAAGCTGCAATCTGTAAATCAAAGCCACAATACAATGTACAGTGAATTAATACATCGCTCATTTCTCTCCCTATTATTACACATTTTCATTTCCATATTTTTGTACCTGATGCCAAGTCACTTTTCTCTTAAGGATGGCCAAGAAACAGGCGCATGGAAGGATGTAGGTCTACAACCGAAAACATGTTTTAGCCTCACCAATTAAACCGTAAAAACAAACTCTCGTATATCATCTGTGGTAAACCGTAAAAACTTACCACAAGCATGGTGAGTAAAGAACCAACCAACGCCATAACTAGCCCTGTCAAAGCTTAAGAACAGATGTTATGCCGCTATTCAATTTGTCAACGACTGGTAACCAACAGGAAAAAAAAAGAATGAACATACCAAAGAAGGGGACAGATAGAGCAATGAGGAGGGTTGAGACCACCAGGGAGGATCTAAGCATGATTATGTTCGCATACTTCTGCTGATTTGGAGGCAGCAATTCTTCCAAACTCATAGCCAATGGGGTTATGGTCAATGCATATGTGATTATTTGTTAAGGGTATCCCAGATCGAAGAGCCATATCCACAATAGTTTCAGTCATGTAAAGTATGATATGAATAATTGTAGTTTGAGAATTTCGTAAAGCACGATATAAGACCATAGAGGTCAAGCAGGATCCTAACTTATTCGACGGTGATCAATTTAATTATAGTAACACACCAACATTGATATTGTTTAGATGCAGCATAATACCTCTTGTCATCAAATATTTAACTGAAACCATGCATATTGCAAGCTAGAGGGTGCTTAGTAATTAGGCCAATTTCTAGTATCCTGAAAATTATAGCTGCTATAAAGTGTGTATTTCATTTGCACAAATAGCTACAGAAATATAACTATTCTAGGTTAATTTGTTTTGATATTAGATCTCATTAAAGAAATCTGATGCACCAAGGATATTTGGTTATTGGATTTGCCACCTGCAACAAAGTCAAGAACTTACTATTAGCAACAGGATTGAGCATAAAGGCAGGTATCTATCTATAAAAGATACTCCATCTGTTTTCAAGTAGATGATGTTCTAGATATGCGTACAGTCAACCCTTGAAATCTTAACTCACCAAATAGTGAAAAAAATATTAAGACTTTATATGTGAAAATGACTTTAGTATATCTGTCATGAAAAATACTTCCATGTAGTTATATTTTTTATTAACTTTTACGAATATGTGAGTGCAAGAAGTAATGACCAAACATGTGCATTGGAGAATGTTTCAATGTCCTGAATGGGATCTAGAGAAGAGCGGAGGTAGTAACTGTTTCAATTAGATGAAAGATAGAAAAAATATCTTTTTAGCTAATCATTATGGTGATATAACTATATAGTATTGTATATGCACAGTATCGTGATTGTTTACATAGACAGGAACAGAACCGTGCTCCATTTATTCATGGCATGATTATCCCAGGTAATAAGCAAACATAAGTTTCTGACCCATTTGTATGGTTATAGCATAGTAATTAAAGGAAATGTTTGAAAGAGTTTTGGCATTACCGTGGTCCAGACAGCAACCTTTGAAACCACCAAATTCTCTGGTAAGTTCAGCGTGAACTGAGATTCAGTGGACTCACCAAACATCTTATATCCCATCACAGCAGCACCGGCAAACAAAATTGAGGACAACCCAATACTGATAAGAAACAGAAGCCAAATCTTGAGTACTGCATTTGTAATCGAAATTATGGAATATGGACTGTATCGATTGTTCCAAGTTAGTTAATTACCAAGTGAAAAGAATAGAAGGAAACTGGTTGCGATTCTTCAGAGAAGAATAGATGTTCGGGAACACACCATGTCCTGAGTAGCAATAACCATACAGTCCAATTGCGATGGGAATTCCTGGGAGATTCAGTGCAGTCCCTTTGTTCTCAAAACCAACATGGTCAACAACCCCAACCCAGCATAGGCAGACAACTACAAGGATTGATGCAATGACACCCCCAGCTACAAACACAACAACATCATGAGACGATGTGCAGTACATACATAAGGCACAACAAATAACGTGCATGTTATTTAAACAACTCTAGACCCAGTAAGATGAACAGAAGAAGCAAGGAAATGCAAACCTGAAAGATAACTCAGACAGCTAAGGTCGCGGAGCCAAGTGGTTGGCATGACTATGAGGGTGGTCAAGATTGCGAAGAACACATGAGAGTTTAGTGTCATGCTCCCAATGGTTAGATGTGCATTGGGGAATAACTTTGACAAATTGTCGCTCTCCAATATCAAATACTCAATGCAACAGGCCTGAAACAGTACATCAGGGTCAATTAACATGTTGTGAAAATGCTTTAAATAGTATTACTATTCAGAAGGAAATAAAAAAATATATTATGTTTCCGTGGCAACTCTTCACAACCTAAACTGAGCTAACTCATACGTATTGCATGGTTAAGTTAGGTAAATGTATTGCATTATAATCTCAAGATCTAAGTAACTAAAGGTAGGTATTATTTTGGTTCTGTTTTAAAGCATAGAAATTTCAACTGAAATAAATTATTATTGAAGCATGTGACACTATTATCAATGAGCTTGAATACATGAGAGGTCATATCAGAGTTGCAAATAATCTAATAGTGTGGTGGGCTGGTGGCCTTGTACTTATCAGAGGCACGTGTGTGACTATGTGTTTTGTCCCGGATATGAAGTTGATGTGTGTTAATTGTATGAATTCATTCCCTGGGGACTAGCACGTAGCAATTTCGATTGAAAATGGCTTATTAGTAATAAGTACTTACATACAGTTCGATGTACAGGATTATCTGTAGATAGTGGAGCCACATACAAGGAAAAAGGGTTAGCACAAGAGCAGTCATTTTTGCATAACCTGAAGCATACAGTTGAAATATCATCATCTACAAGAGATTTTACCGAGATTGCTATACGTCCAGTGGTGCCAAAGGCGGCATGACCAATATCAGGGTATGTCTCAAGACCCTCCTTGCTGTCCAGACAACGTCGAAGGAGCACTCCGGTGTACCAAGCGAGCACAGCAAATAAGCAAAGTATCACCAGTCCAAGCCAGCCTCCCTGTTTAATGGCATATGGAGTCGATAGGATCCCCACACCACACAGAACATTTATTCCTGCATAATAGGAAAAAATCCCCTAGACTAAGTAATAATACGTAGGTATTTGGAAAAAAAAAAGTTAAGTTATTTGTCCTGAGTAAAGCAAACAGATCAATTTCTTGGGTTAAGAAGAATTAGATAAAAATAGAGAGATTGGTACTTGTACATTTTATTTTGGATGAAGTATTTCTGCATATAATTTGATAATAATTATATGGGTTTGTCTTGAAGCAAAAGTACAGCCTGCAGATCTATCTACTTGCTGTTTGTGACAACTGTCACATGGTGGGGTGACTCAACCATGTGATGTCCCTATTGATGCCAAGAACAAGAAGAAAAGTTGAACTGGTGGACCTGTGATGCGGCGTATCAACAAAGAGAATAGACCATTTTCAGGACAACATGATTGACCATTTGATGTACTTGATGTTTGCACTTAAACTGATAACCGCTGGGCTAATCTGGGCTCCAGATGTTTGCTGAACTAACTAATGTTTTGCATTTCGCTAAAAAAAAACTAAAGGTTTGGGTCTTCTATCAATGCTGGTATATCAAATAAAATGAAACAGCATGTAAAGCTAGTATAACTACTAGTTCAAAACAGTGTGATCTCAAATTCTCAATCCAGATCCTTAGAAATTCATGCTCTGATTGTTTGGACTGGTCTGAGCATCAATACACTGAACTTGGACATGCTGGTCTGTGGGAGCGTGTCCAGGTTCACCAAATCTGATTGTGTATTCATCAATGCTACGTACTCCATATGACAAGGATATTCTGTGGTGCCAATAAGTGAGGGGGTCCTATTTCTCATGTTCTACTTCACAGTAGAAGCAAAACGACTTCCAGAAAGTCATATGCAAGCAAATTATGGTTGGATCTATAAATTGGTTTACGAGAAGCAACATATATATCTAGTATCAATCATTGCAGGATAAATAACATTCTAGTATTTCCCTTCCATAAAGGAAAAAAAAGAAATGATATCATCATTAATTAAAATTGGTAGACATGCGTACCATTCATCACTGCCTGGGTGTAGGAGCATTGTTGATAAGCCGGCACCTCATGAGCCGGCACCAATGGTTTTTGATCCTCCGGGATCTGTTGCAAAGACGGTTTTCTTGAGGGAAGCAGGTACTGGGAACTCTTACGGGTATCATCGTCATGCTGCTGCTGCTGCTGCTGGTCGTCGCTTGAAGATGATGGGCGTAGAAGTGGCTTGACAAGATTAGAGAGAATTTCAGGGGTTTTGCCACGAAAAGAGTTGGTGAGGAATGAGTTGGAGAGCCTGCTTAGAGTTGGAGTTCCCAAAAAGCTCAGGTTGGGAGACTGCACGCTACTATAAATGTCGATTGATTGCCTGTTAACATAGAAGTAAGAGAGAAGAGTTACTCCATTTTTATTTTTAGTTTAGTTTAGTTTGAATAAGATGAGATGAGCAAGGGAGGTTGGCATCTAGTAGTCCTATAGTATGTGGACTGTTTCTCTTTTAGATGAACTTATTTAAATTGGAAGAATGAGGATACAGAGACAGATACAGATTAATTGATGGGAGGATAAAAAGAGAAGAAACAAATCTGAATTTTGGCAGGAAGGGAGGGGAAGGGACCTGTAGCTTTGCGGCCATTGGTGGGTGGCGTAGGAGCTTGGGCGCGGGGTAGCGCAGGAGGAGTCGTCGGAGTCGGAGTCGGAGTCGGCATCCTTGAGGAGGATGGAGGAGTGGGGGTGGGCTTCCTCGTCCTCCTCCTCCTCCTCGCTCTCGATGAGGAAGCTGTTGCTGCCGCGCTCCTCCTCTGACGCATAACGAGAAGAAGAGTTGTTCATCTCGTGGGATCTCATCTCTTCTCTTGGAATCTCCTCTCCTCTCTTGGGCTCTGCAAGTCTGCAACTGCAGTCCTCCTCCTATACAAGATTAGTAGCAGTACAAGAACAAGAGCTGTGTGTACTGATCAATGTTAGAGATAATGCCAAGACCTGATTAGGATTAAATTAGTTCTCCTCTCTCTCTCTCTCTCTCTCTCACTGTCGCACACACACTTTTAGCCCCAGCTGATGCAAGGGAGAAGGAACCATTGGATGACTCCACACATGCATACTATACGATTGGAGTAGACAACAAGTGCATGATTAAGGCTGTGTTCGCACATAGGTGTTCCCAACTTGCACAGTAAACACAGAAAACGGAGCGGTTCATTAGCACGTGATTAATTAAGTATTTACTATTTATTTTTCAAAAATAGATTAATTTGATTTTTTTAAGCAACTTCCGTATAGAAACTTTTTTTAAAAAACACACCGTTTAGCAGTTTGAAAAGCGTACGCGCGGAAAATGAGAGAGATAGGTTGGGAAAAAGGGGTTGCAAACACACCCTAAATAAATTGATGCCGTCCGTCATCAACGTCATGATTCCCTCACACATTACTCTCCTTCGCCTCTATGACGATGATTCCCTTTCTATTATTCATAACCATATTCCCCTTCATTCTCCAATTCAACTTTAAATAAACACAAGACATTACTACTAGTCCTAGCAGCTTACATGTCAAATTTTGCTGCATATGGTTGCCGCAACAAGCAATTTTTACTGCTGCTTTTCTCCTAATTCCAAAACCATATCATTGGATGCGCCATGTTCCCGGGATCACATCACCATCGGATCCGGATCGGATCTGATGCCGTTTTCAACCAAAGATTCAAAACTGTAGTACTATACTAGGGGTGTGTTTAGTTCACGCTAAAATTAAAAGTTTGGTTGAAATTAGAACGATGTGACAGAAAAGTTAAAATTTTGCGTGTAGGAAAGCTTTGATGTGATGAAAAAGTTGAAAATTCCAAGAAAAAGTTTGGAAAACTAAACACGGCCTGGTTCTCTTTTTCTGTTTGAGAGAGAGAGAATAACTTATTGATGAGCACTGATGAGGACTCAAATTTGACACTCTCACCCTTTCATACAAAACTAATTTCACATTTGACGAAAACTAACCCTCACCTCATTACCAGGATCCTTCGTCCCAAAACAAACTAATGTAATACGGGATGTGACACATTCTAGATTCGTAATATTAGAATATGTCACGTCACGTACTAAGTAGATTTATTTATTTTAGGATGAAGGAAATGCGTGTTTATAAGTTTTTGATGGGCCTATATCTAACAAAAAGAATATCAAGAGATTCAGCGACTCTGCCAGATTTGTGTTCGAGCCCTCGTCCCCTTTCTTCTTCATTCGTTTTTTTATCTCCTGGGAGGAGGATACACAGCACTACGTTCACTTTCTTATGTTTTAGGCCTATTAATTAAAATATTAAGATTAAATTGCACCTTGGACGAGCTATTATTATCAAGTTTTATCCTAAACCAATCTACACTTAATGTTTCCTTTTTTTTACCATGATTCTATTGCTTACTGGGCTACCCTTCTCTTCACCCATCTGTTGACCAAAACTCACCACACACACGAAGGCCTGAGATGTCTGCTTAGATTTAGTGCAAGTCCTATCAAATCGGGTTTAGGACATGCTAGTTAATTTGATCCTATAACTAATAAGATAGAAAAAAAAAAGATTAGATCGTGGGGCCAATTGACCATAGGGCCAATATATTATCGTAAGCCCAACCGATGCCGATGGAATTTCGGATCGATCGCTATAACAACATTGACCGAAACTTAGATATAATATATTTGTAAATCATCTAACTTTATTATAGCCAATCTTAATAGACCGGACCAAACCGACACAATATAAGATTGAAAGTAACAAAATTGAATCTAAAAAATATATATATCTTCGAGATGCATGCCGATGTGCCAATAATCAATTAAGACTTATCATTGCTCTATCTGAAGAAAATAAACTAACATCGGATATGACAACTTAAAATATAATCACCAACAATTTAGGGTTATTAACCAAAATCTAGATAGATCGTACCCAACTGTGACAATATAAGATTGAAGATAATAAAACATCAGCTAGCCAATTATACTAAATCTTGTGGATCAACCATTATGGCAGATTAAATTATGGTAAGCTGATAATTCATCAGCTAAAACTCCGATGGAAAAATGATTAAAAATCTATTGGCTTGAGCAAATCTAACCAGCAAATTATAACCTAGAAGATTGAACTTAACCAAGATAGTTCAAAATTAATGGTGAGCTTGATAGATTTAAACCAACCAATTGGTAATACTCAGTGTGATTGATATATTGAATCTAACTAAGACAACAAAGCAATCTAAGAAAGAATCGATAGATCACATAGGCAACACAAGTAAAAGCTTAACTAGTATATCGCACTTAACCAAGAAAGTACTAATTCCGCCAATACAAGCGAAGTTGATGATACTTACTTTCTCGCTAGAGATCAAAACTAATGCAGCCCAAACTTGAAAACAAAAACTCATCGAAACTAGAAAGTTGTATATTGAACCGTTGTTAAATTAAAAGGACCTTAGGTGTACATATTTATACCCATAGGTTAGATCAAGTCCAATTCTACTACAGTTAGATCAGCTTAGGACTCTATCCCAAATAAGGAAACTACATGATACAATTCCGACTCAGACATGACTCTGATCGGCAAACTAGCTAAGTCCGAATCCAACACGAGTCCATCAGCTCATAACTCTGTCCATAGAAAATAGAAACCAAAATAAACGTTCCTTATAACGGAACGAGATAAATTTACCAACCAAATCTACGAAAATCATGGTGTTAATTCTCTATTTTGATTCAGTATTGGCTAACGAAAATGGCCAAATTTCACCGTTAACACCACTGTTGGCTGGCCGCACCTACCTCTGGCTTCGACAACATCGACGCGTTGAAAGTTACTTTCCTCAGCTTCAGGGGCACGTGTGTGTAACCCTTTTGTATCCTCGGCCTTTAGCTGGGACGAGATCGGATCTAAGCAACACAATTAAATATCTCGTGTACTGGTCTACTAGGCATCGGGTGCTCCTGCTTGAAGATGCTACGACATTATTGTGGTGCCGCCTTTGGTGCCTTGTCTACATGGTAGGAATGGACACCAACAATGAGAAAGAACTAAGGAAGGATGGCAAGGAAGCATTGATGGCCACTGCGTACAAAGGTTTGATATGGGGAGTGGGTATCAAACGAGTAGGTCAAGAGGAAGGGCAGAAGGTCGCCCAATATTCAACATAAGGTAAAAGATCATAGTTTAAAGTGAAAATATTATGTATGACTTGGTTCACGATAAGATTTTAGTTATAGTCCAAAGTACAATTTACTCAAATAACATTGACTGGCATTCTTGGTGTTTCGTGGTCAGGAGTACGAAACAACGTGATAACATTGGCAATGAGGTATTGGATGTCAATGCCAAGATCTTTCTGTGTTGAGGTATATGTCCATTTTGTTTTTGTTAGAGTTTGTTTTTATCGAGATCTATTTCGAAAACAACTTTCTTAAGAAAGAAAAGAGCAGTGTCCCCTAGAAATTTGAGTGATGTGGTCAGGTCAGAGCGCGCAAAGCCCAAATGAAAGCCCACAACCTGGATCTGGAATGTACTCCAGTATTGTTTTGTTGGGTCGGCGGCGGCGGGTGAGAGTGGAGAATGATGATGGCTCTCCGCCGCGCCGTCGGAATTGGCTCCGCCGCCGCCCTCCGCTCTGCCGCCTACCTCCGCCGCGCCTCCCCCTCGCCGGCGCGGCCCCATCCCCTCGTCCCTCCACCGCCTGCCGCCCGAACCTTCGCCGCCCCGCCCCAGGTATCGTATCAATGGATCCCCTTCACCCTCGAATCTTAACTAGTCTAGTCTAGTGTAGTGTACTACTATACTCCCTAACTACTAAGTATCTTGTTGTTGTATTACAAGGTGATGAAGAGGAGCACCAAGGACGACGACGACGATGGCCCTCGGATCAACAACGACATCACCTCTCCCTTTGTTCGACTCGTCACTGACCAAGGTACGGTACCCCCTCTCCCGTCTACCCTTGTCCTCACCGCATGCTCTCTCACTTTTTGCTCATTTTTGCAGGCCATAGTGTTGTCCCCAGGCACGAAGCTCTTCAGCTTGCGGCCAGGATGGACTTGGACTTGGTCGAGGTACTTACTGCCCTCTATCTGCTTTCTTCTTGTAACCAAACCAACCTAAACATACTAGTATTTCAATTGCCATCACCATGTCAAATCCATTTCTTTGTTTATCTATCTGTGACTCTTTCATCATTCCTTTTTACACGATTTAAGATGTTCATGGATGATACTGACAGTGGATATAAACAACCAAACCGATTCACTTGTATTTCCCTCTACAACATATCTGACCATTTGCCACATTTCTTGAGATTTGCCCAATGTTCATTACCGTTTCTCTTTTATTCAGGTCCACAGAAAATCAGACCCTCCTGTCTGTAAAATCATGGATTTTCACAAAGAGAAGTATAAGAAAGACGTTAAGGAGAAAGAACGCCTAAAAACTAAGGTATACTTACTTCCTGGCTCAGTTTTCTTAACTATCCATTGATCACTCATTCGACCAAGGCGATCAACGTACAAGGTTTGCCTTCTTGTGAGAAGGTGATGGTGGTTTAAAAGACCTGTGTTATGTTATGTAGCTGTATGGATCAAATGCCCAACATACTGCTCAATATTGATGCTCCTGGTTAATTTAATCATCCTACCATTGGGAAAGACTGTTAACCATATCGTCCCTGCTTGTGTTTGGATCTGACAGGCTATAACATATATCTCCTTGTGTTGTTCTGGTTTTGTGCAGTCTGCTATTGTCTTACGCGGTGGGGAGAACAAAGAAGTGCGGTTTAAGGGTAAAACAGTAAGTGGTTTTTTCTTGCTTTAGTTTGTTTATTGCAGCCTATCATCTTGGCTGCAATAGATTGCTGATCTGGTAACTGGTATGATATGGTCGTATGGAGTATCTAGTTGGCCTATCATACTTGGTTTTGTCCAAGGCATTTTTTTTTCAGTTTGTTTGGATCCATATGAACGGTGCCTAGTTTGTTTGGACTTCTCTAGTCTTTCTGTTTAAATTATTGAACCTTTCTATGGAAGTATCAAAGAGTCCAAATTATTTCAAAGTTTCTTTTGCAGTTACGTTTGAGAAATTGTTGGTATGAAGGCCTAACTTGGAAGGTTGCTGATGAACATAAATTGTTACATGTAGGAACTAAAAGACTTGAAGGTGAAAGCAGATGGAATCACCAGATTAATGGAGCGAGGTTACAGGGTGAAGGTCAGCTTACATTCCATTTCCCTTTCTTGCTTGTACCACTGTAGAAAAGGTCACTTTGTACAGGCACGTAACCGACTGGTTGCACGTATGTGAGTAGTAAAGCAACCCGAATAAGTGAATCATGACGGATTTTAGGTGTGTGAAATGTTGAAATGGCCTGCTAGCCTGATCAAGTGGCCGATTGCCATATAATCACAGAGTTAAGATGCTTAATTCTCATATTGAGCCTAGCAGTCCAACTAGGATAATCCGTATATAATATCTATACTGCTTCCATCATCTTATGAGGGTAACCACATGAGTAGTACAAATATGCTTTTTAATAATTACAATTGAATGTGTTCAAATGTCTCTAAGAGCAAACAAGCACCAAGTATATAGATTCATTAGCATGAACATTAAATTATCCATATAATTCTGAATAGTCATCTGTATTCCGACTTATCACTTGATGGTACCTTGTCCATCCGATACGCGTATCCAGACTTATACAACACTGGTTTGTACAGCTCTGCCAATATTTAGTGACAATTCATGCAGTTTCTGTTAGCATCATCTTATGCTTTGCTTTGTCTTTTTTTACTATCATTTACTCCCTCCTTCCCAAATTGATCATCATCTAATGGACTTCAAAATTTCTCAAATTGATCATCATATAACCGCATGGACATGGATTTCATCATAATACAATTAATGCAGCATGAGAGAATGTGTGCATGCTAAGGTGTAATTGGCATGGTGTTTTGATCGATGCATGCATTGTGGGAGAATGTGTGCATGGTTGTCTTGATTGATGTGATTTAAATTATCCTTGGTCTTGGTGCATAAACATATACTCCCTCCATCCCATAATATAACGCATGGTAAAAGTTACACGGTCTCCAAAACTAATCTTTAACTTATAATTTCTCATATGCTATAAGGTTTGTAGCAACAAAATTATAATCATATGAAAGTAAATTTAAATGTCAATCTAATGATATAATTTTTAACAAATAAAATTCATTTCATATTATATTAAATGTTGGTCAAATGTTTTAAAGGTTGAATCTTGAAATACGTGCACACCTTATATTATGGGATGGAGGGAGTATGATGATCATTTTGGGAAGGAGGGAGTATATAATTACTTTTTGTCATCAGAGGCAACAGCTGTCGGTTTTCTAGTCAAATATTGCTTTGTAATTTTCAGTAGACGATTATCTGAGAAAAATATGCCAAATGATGGGAAATGATGAGGGAGCTTTGCTGAAGAGTAGCGATTCTTAAGTACATTGTTCTCCATCTAATATGTCACACTATTGCATTTTGACACTAGAGAGTTGCTCCACTGGTCATGTTTGCTTAGATATTGCCACCAGGAATGTGGTAGGTGGTGCAAAATGCACAAGCTGTAAATCTCACATGAAAAATCAATGGTTTGGGTTTGGGTGAAGAGGTCGTACCAGGTGGTAGAGATCATCCAGGTTGAGAGGATGGCAGCTGTAGAAGTTATGTCGTTTGCAGACTTTTACCTGTTTCAGTAATAGATGCATGATTTGTTTTGGAGTAGAACTTATGTCTTTGTTGAGTGTAGATCAAATTCCTAACCGGACTGTTATTGATGGTGTGATGGTCATGTACTCATGTTATGCAATGGTTCTAGGAATCCAGATATAAATTTTATTTACTTTTCTATTTGGATGATACTGTGTTTGCATGTAACAGTATTTTCTGTATGTTCTTTCTTTTTCTTGTATAAACCAGTAACAGGCACAAGAACTACAAATTCAGGAGAACTTTCTTCCTCTTCTTAGGAAAAGGCCCTGCTGTCTCTTGTCTAGTTTGATCAAGAACAATAGCAGTTGGAATTGAACTGAACATGGAGAATTATAAGAAAGTTTTTTTTTTCTTTGGTCTCTATTTCAAGCAATGAGAACCTGAAGGATTTTGGTCTAATTTTTGCCTGATTTACTATATTAGCGCATTCTGTGCAACTGTCACCAACATTCATATATCCAATTTTAACTTGAACTTCAGTTCTGAATCAGTTAATTTCAGCTGTCTTTTATTGTAATTTTTGTGCATGTTCATATGCATATGCATTTATTTGTTATAAGGTCTTGAATACAAACTCTAAAATTATTTTAAATGTGTTCCTATTTGGCAGTGCATGGCGATGCCCTCAGGTAATGAAGAAGAAGATTTAGGAGGGCCACTATCTCGGTTGTTAGGACTTGTGAGTGCTCTGCTCCTTATTATTTTCATGTTGCTTGCAACCAATGTCAGCAAATTCTGTTTGACAACTGTTTGATGTCCTGGTTACATTTTCGGAGCTGTCCGTAAAATGATCTTTTTATATGATGTCGTAAATTGAACAGATACAAGATGTCTGCATAGTGGAAAGTGGCCCACATTTGGACTCGAAGCATGCATACGTTATTGTTAGGCATGTGAAGTTTGCAACAAAGAAAGCTGGAAAGAAAGCTAGCAAGGCCATAGAAGATGTAGGCAAAGGTGCCCGCAAGAATGCCTCTGAATTGTCAACTGTTACTGCCGATAGTGGAGATGAGACAAATGATTGTGGAAATGGGGCCATCTCAGATCAAATGGACAACGCTCCTGCTTACGTCTCCAATGAATTTTCCATGCAGAAAGATGCACATGATAGAGGCTCTAGAAGGGAGTTGAGTTGGTCGAAATCGAACCCGGGCAACTACGGTGAAAACATGCAAAATGTTGATGCTGGGGCACACAGAATTAGCTCTAGTCAGCGGGCAGCACAAACCTCAGAGGGTGGGTTTGGTTCCAATAATGTAAAATCTGGTATGGAAAAGCAAGAAAAGGCTAATGAAGATGTGGTACCTGCAGAAACCAACAGATACGCCAGCCGAAGACAGCAGATAAGAGGAGATAACCAGGGTTTGAGCCAAGATAGATCCCCGCAAGGTCATAGAAGGAATGAAAATGAAGTTCGCTATCCGGTCAATGACTACCAAAGACCTCTGCAGCAGAACAACCGACAATCACCAAGGTTCAACGATGGTAGATTACCACAAGAACCAAGAAGAAATGAAAGGGGAGGCCATATTCCGTTGAATAACAAACAAGGCCAATTTCAGCAAATGAATCATCCTGCTGAATCAGCGGGTAATGGTGCAGGCTATCCTACTCCGACGGCCAAGAGTTTTGGAGTTTTCAGTACCAGAAAACCTGCTACGTCTGAGTTGGGGAAAACAAATGGTGCTAGTAGGACTGCTAATTCTGATGTACCTAAAAGCTATGGAATCTTTAGTTCTCCTAGAAGGGAATCTGGTGATAAAAGCTCATGAATGAAACTATCAGCAGATAAGCCTATAAACAGCAGGTCTACATCAAAGTTTGTCGTATTTGGAATTGGCACAATAAGCCTCGAAATGTAAGGATCAGCATGTGGGTCTCATGTTTCAGTTTTTGTTGATCATTGACTATTATTCATTCAGCCTGAGCATATCTACGTGGCGGTGGCACGGTGAGAAAGCCAACTGCAAGCTTGAGAGGTACTGTACTACTCCTATTTGTTAAGTAGCTTTTGGGTCCACTTGTATTGTTATCATTTGATTGGAAGAATCACACCTGTTTAGACTAGAATAGCCCTTTTACTTGTCAGGTTGATCGAATAGTGAAAAATAATGTCATGAGTGGTCGGATCCATTTGATTGTGATAGCATTTTTTACTACATCCATCCCAAAATAAGTGCAGCCGTGGATATCCGTGCCTAACGTTTGACCGTCCGTCTTACCGCCATACCGCAATAGTGTTGAGGCGGGTGTGCAGCGCCTTAGCTCGCCATACCGCCTAATAAACTTGATCTTAATAGATCAATTGTTGATCAAAACCTTATTCCAATATAACAAAATACACTTTATATTTTAAAACGGGGAAGTACTCCATTTTAAACAAACTCATGAGGTAATATAGATTTGCTCCTATATTTTACAGTTCCAAAATAAACAATGATAAGAAGAAGAATAGAGTAATATAGTTGTTAGATGATTGTTTTGGTTTGTAATTTAGGAGAAATATATGTGATGGTGTCATGCTAAAATGGCCAAAATGTGATTCCGTAAATGGGGTTGGCTCATCATCAAATGGTGCCTAAATGGCACTTGGTCAGTTTCTAATTGACTTGCTTAATTTTGTTCTTTTCTCAATGTGAACGGATGAAATTGACCTTTTGGGCTGTGAATAGAAACGGTGAGCAGCTCCACTCCAGCACAGGTGCCGAGCATGAGCAGCCGTGTTTAGTTACAAAATATTTCTTCAAACTTTTAACTTTTTCATCACATCAAAACTTTTCTACATACGTAAACTTTTAACTTTTCCGTCACATCGTTTTAATTTTAACCAAACTTTTAATGTTAGTATGAACTAAACACAGCTAGCTAGAGCGAGGCGGCCTTGCATTGTTCTCAGTCACGGTCGGTCGGTAGCAGCGACAGCGAGCTTAATTAATTGGTGGTGATCTCGATCGGCATCGGCGGTGACACTTTGACTCCCCGCACCGCTAGCTGGCCGGAGCTCCACCTCCCCCGGCGATGATGCCTCGTGGATAGCGGCCGGAGATAACCTCGTGGCTTCAGCTCTACTACTTCTTAACTGATACTAATGCTTATTCTTTTAACTATATCCAAACTAGCGAGTTTAGTACATGTTATTATTATGTTAATATATATCAATAAAATATCAAACTTAAAATTATAAAGGTGATATAGACGAGATAGAGCGAGCTCGGTCGTAAGCAAAATCGACCTTGACCTTTTAAACTCAATAAGATTACGAGTCGAGACAAGCTGGCTCTCTAAGATAACGAGTTTAAATGAGCTGAGCTAGTACCTAAGTCTTATTTTATCCCCCAACTATAAAAAAAACACTCTTTTTTTCTCTTCAAACGGTTTGGATGATATATAGATTTATCCTACGTGGCAAGTTAACCTAGTTTTCATCTGATGTGGCTCTTCAATGGTATTACATTTGGAAAGAAAAATAGAAAATACAATGGGACCCACTTATCACTCTCCATCCTCTTCTTTCTCTTTTCACCTCTCCACTCTTAAGCTGTGTTCATTTGGTGGGGTTGGAAACCCCTCCACTCTTCATGCAAAACAAAACGATGGATTAACATTATTAATTACTAGGTATTAGCTTAAAAAATTGAAAAATAAATTAATATGATTTTTAAAGCAATTTTTCTGTAGATTTTTTTTTCAAAAACACACACCTTTAATAGTTCGGAGGAGTGCGCGTGGGAAACGAGGGAGTGGAGGTTAGGAACCTTGAGTTAAGAACACAACCTTATTTCTCATGTGCATGCTTCCTAAATTGCTAAACAGTGTTTTTTTAATAAAAAAAGAATGTACGAAAATTGTTTTTTAAAAAATCATATTGGGGTTTAGGTAATCCTATTTATTAAGTTTTTTTAAGCTAATACTTAATTAATCACATGCTAATTTACCGCTTTATTTTCGGTGCGTGGAGGATTAGTTTCCAACCAACGCTAAAGAACACAGGCTTAGTCTCTTCTGGTCAATGGTGGTAGTACTCAAGTCTCTTTCTCGGTCCGTTCTTTGACTATCGTGGTCCCTACAGTGCTCTGAGCAGCTGATGGAATGGAACCCTCATTCCTACTTCAACTATAGACTCCCTTCACCTATTGAGGCCAGGGCCGTCTCCAGTACTTTGGGGCACCAGGTTGAAATACAAATTGAGGCCCTATAATTTTTTTAAAAAAAGCATGTCTAATATAAACAAAACATATTTTCGCTCAATTATGTAGATGCAATATGTGCTATAATGTACACTATTTTAAAATATATTATGATAATCATACTAAAAGAGCGAAGAGGTAAGGAAGGCAGGAGCCAGGAGCCCAGGAGGCAGCTGCACACTGCAGAGCTGCTCGGAGACTAGAATCTACGGCCATCGCGCTGCCACTCAGAGTCGCAAGTTGTATCGTCGCCTCGCTGGTCACCGCGGCATGGAATTGGGATCGACAATCTCGTCTCATTCTCGTAGCAGCCACAACGCACGCAATCACAGAATTAGGATCGATGCGATGATGTTGCAGTGTCGTACGCGTGGCCACCTGGGCTTGGCGATTTGCCTTGCATGCTATAGTTGTGGGCAATAGACTATAGTCCTTCATCTTCACATGGGCCCAAAAAAAATCATAGACCCTATGCGGTCGTCTATTTGGCTCTTGGGCATCAACGGGTCTGATTGAGGCTATTGGTGCCAGTGTGATTGACGTCAAGACATTGAAACTCGGTTCTAATAATCTTGACGTCGAGAAAAATAGTTTATTTCTAAGTAAGTTTTTTATAAAGGTATATTTGTAAAATAAATTTTTAAAGAGCTAAAACATAAAGAAAAACAATGACGCCCCAGGGCAGCCAAAAGGACTACGAAAGGTGGCTGCGGCGTCTGAGGCTGTTATGATGGAGGCATATGTCACGTGATGTACGTGAGGCCTATGTGTTGTGAGTAGGGTTTCTCAAACCGCCGGGGCCGGGGTTACCGCACCCCGGCGCCGCGGTAACCATGAAAAACCGTGCAAAATTTATCAAAAATTCAAATTATTTTTTAAATTTATTTGAATTTAAGGAGGTTACCGCGGTATTTATATTACCATACTCCGCGGTAAGCCCTGGTTACGGTGGTAACATCAACCCTGGTTGTGAGTCGAACCATTGATTGATGGGCCCATGCACCAGCTTGGTGCTGTGTATAAATTGTGCTCATGCAAGAAGCAATTAAACGGATAAGTTATACAGGAGGTGTTCTTTTCATCCGATAAAGAAGCAAGGACACATAAAATAGAAGTATTATCAATATATGATTAATTAAGTTTTAATTATTACTCCTATAAACTTAAAAATTGGAAACAACGACACCTGATACCTTATTTAGATGGAACTAAAACTTTTAAGCTCTTATCACATCAGATGTTTAGATACTAATTATAAATATTAAACGTAGACTATTAATAAAACACATCCATAATCTTGGACTAATTCGCAAGACGATTCTATTGAGCATAATTAATCCATGATTAGTCTATGTGATGCTACAGTAAACATTCTCTAATTATAGATTAATTAGGCTTAAAAAATTTGTCTCTCAAATTAGCTTTCATTTATATAATTAGTTTTGTAAGTAGTCTATATTTAATACTCTAAATTAGTGTCTAAATATAGAAACTAAAGTTAAGTCTCTGGATCCAAACACCACCTGAGTGTGTCAGAATGCATTGCACAACGCATCTGGGGTTGGGGTTACAGAACGGATTGAAGGCAGCCCGGGTGCAGCTAGGTAGCATTAAATATTTGTCACATAATAAAAAATCTGATGTGACAAGAGAGTTAATAGAGTTAATGACGGAGGTAAAAAAATGAAGAAATCATTTCTCTCGCAAAAAACCATCTCTACGCAAGAACAAATAATGAAAAATAGGAAATAGGTGGATAAAAAGAGAGAAGAGAGATGATTGGATGAGAATTTAATTTGACGACATCATCCATTGAATATATAGTTTTTATACAGTATCTACATGAATAACATGTATGAAAGCTAATTGATAGTTTGATAGTTTTTTTATTGGGGATGGCCTAATAGTCCCAGATTTTTAGCGCATATGCATTGTCAAAGGACTTCCTTTGTTCCATAATAAATTTATTTTTAGCCATTTTTATTGTCTCAAAATGAATTCTTATTTTATTTTTAAAGTAATTATTACATTAAAGTTTATAAAAGTGAAAAAAATAATATTGAGAGTAGATAAAATGAGAAATAGTTACATTAGGATTTGATATTGTAGAAATATTTTTTAAAACTTTTTATTGATATATGTAGGATTTGTGAAAAATAAATTTATTTTAGGACAAAAGGTAAAGGTGTACTCCCTCCGTCCCATAAAAAACAACCTAGTACCGGATGTGATACATCATAGTACTACAAATCTGGATATACATCTATTCAGATTTATCGTATTAGAATATGTCACATTCGATTGTAGATTCGTATTTATCGTATTAGAATATGTCACATCCGATCGTAGATTCGTTTTTATGGAATATTTGGATACAGGAAACGACGAATGAATGGATGATGGCCGGCCGTATATCCATCCACACTTCCACCACAGTCCGTCAGTCCTACCTTCTACAGTACTGTTGCTACAATGACTACTGGATCAGTCGTTTCAGTACTAGTACTATGGAGCCATTCAATTCAGCTCGTACCCTCAACAGTGAATACTATGGGCTATTCAGATTGATATTATTTTAAAATTTAAACCATATTACTTTTTACTAAAATTATCAAAGATGTGTATGTATTTAGTTTCTCGTCAAATTGAGGTAAATAGATAAGAAATCTTATAAAAATTTTGATAAACGATAATATTGTCAGTTTATCAAAATTTGGACGCTAGTAAGATTTATTTTGGCTAGCCTCTATATCTTCCGTTTTAAAATATAATAGATTTTGGTTAAATACAATGTATCCTAGTTTTTTTTTGTTTAGGGCCTGTTTAGATCCCACCTAAAAATGTTACACCATGTCACATGGAACGTTTGAGCACATGCATGAAGTATTAAATATATGCTTAAAAAAATACTAATTGCACAGATTGTGACTACTTTGCGAGACGAATCTTTTAAGTCTAATTGCTCCATGATT